GAGAAACCAACCAGCACCACTACCACCACCACCACCAGCGAGAAGCCAACAAGCACCACTACCACCACCAGCGAGAAACCAACCTCCACCACTACCACCACCACCACCACCACCAGCAAGCCCACTACAACCACCGAACCGTCGAAGACCACATCAACCACGAGCTCAACCTCATGCAAGACGTTCACCGTCTGCGACCCCCAGTGGTACAAGCCCACGGACTCATGGACGACCAAGAACTACGATGACAAGGATTGAGTAAGGATAACGGCAAAGATTGAGACAAGGGTAATGGCAGCGATTATGGCAAGGACGACGGGAAGGACGACGGAAAAGTTAACCATTAGCTCGTGACAAGTAGAGAATACGGTATGGATCATGGATTTGGGAAAAAAAGAAGCCAATGCCGTTGCGAGGCGGAGGTTGATTCAGGGAGACTATGGGGTTTGCAGAAAAAGGCCTTGGCCTGCTACACTCTTTACTGTTTGAACTACAGTTCTGGATTTTACGATGCTTAAGTCGATAGTCATACTTTATCTAGTACTAATACATTGCTTTTATTGTTGTCAGTCGTATTAGTGGTTTGTTATTGCACAAGCGGCATTCTGTAGCAACTGTTTCTTGTATAGCAATTATCGCTGCATCCATCACTGCACAGCCAACAGTAATCCATCTGACCAGCCAGTGCCGTAATCAGTTTCAGTCCCGCAACTTCAATCAGTATACAACGTAGTAGCTTCAGCGAAGAGATAAAGTTTTAGTCCTTCCGTGATGATGGAACAAGCTTATCACAAGCTACCCGGCCAGACGGGAAGGTCCGGACAACCCACGCTTCCCGTCCAAAGTTCTTCAGGCTGGCCATGGTTCGTTCTCTGGTATGACATTATTCACAAGAGAACTCTGGAGGAATGTTGCATGCTTGGCGCCCCCAACCCGGCCAGAAGCTTATACTGAGCAAAGCACATCCCCACCAGATGTAAAGCCCGAGCGATGACACGGTGATAATTCGGGCCCATCCGCCACAGTCTGGCCTTTTCTTGAAACAAGTGCGTGATGTGGATCTACCATGCGAACAACTAGTCTGTATTCTCGAACTATTAGGTTTTTGCTTTTTTTTTTTCCCGTCGGTCTTGTAGTTCCAAACTCCATCGTGCCTTGCTGACTCCAGCAGCCCACATCCCCAACTGCACTCTGGTATCCTGCTCAATGCCCCCATATCGAAAACTCCCAGTGGGGTCTCTCACGATGAGGATGAACAGAAACCTCCTCCGGACGGAGCCATCGGCATAGTAAGCGTCGTGATCGCCCTGATGCTGCTGAACGCGCTCGGCATCTCTGACCAAGCCGCACCCCCGCTGGAGCACTTGACTTTGCTGGGCTATCACAACGACGGGCTGACCCGAGCCAATGTCGCCTGCGACGATCCACTGCTCAACTCCACCCTGGCCGTACAGCCCAGCTTTTACCTACACGACAACCACCACTGAGGAGCCACCCTATACCACCACCACTGAAGAACCACCTTATACTACAAAGACGACTGGTATGACGATTAATCCCTACTGATAAAGTCAGGCGAATGGCGAGAATATACAGTCAGAAGATCGATGGTTATGGAGAGGAGAAAAAAAAAGGTCCGTCCGGGGAGTGATTGGAGTGGGGTTGGACGAGATATAAGTTAGTACTTTGGGGTGGAAAATTTAAGCAAAGGGGAACCAGTTCTTTTTACGCTTCGATTTTTCTCCTTTTTTTTTTTTTGAAAAAAAAAGTTTTCTACTGGGCTTCCTGTCCGATCTTCGTGATTGTATTTGAGACTCTGCTTCATTACTTCGTACTAATAATGGATTGCAATTTTTTGTTTTCGAAAGTAGAGGTCTCGTGACGAAATGTAGGGAAGTGTATTACTGTACAGTACTCCGTAGAAGCATGATCCCTAATTTTCTTAGCGGGAGAGCAAACGCAGCTTGCAAAGCTTATTCCCCGTCTCTTCACTAGGAAGTACACTACCCGTAGTTCGTCTACCAACAGCGAACAAATTAGAATAGGTTCACGAAAGATCAAAGTTCTCGTTCATCTTCTCCATGATAGTGGAACAAGTCCTCATATGTGTGACCCGGAACCACGCGGCGGCCACCAACCGTCTCTCCCGGGCTTGCTGCATGGAGCGTCTTGGTTCGCGGTGCGTTGATCTATCCTGCACGGGACTCTGCGTCCGAGCATCCCCGCGCGAAGAGCTGTGGTATCCCGCGCCGGATTGCTTGGGGTATGGTAGAGGTTGAAGGTCTTCCCCCTTGTATTTCGTGTTACATGTACGAGGACTTGGATAGATAAGTCGCTGTCTCGTCTTGTCGGGTTTGTGGGTCTTTACAGTGAAGAAATTCGGTCATGGGTGGGGGGATGATGGTGTTTGTGCTATTCCACGGACTGGGAATCATGCGACTAGTGATGACTACATGATTCGGGGATAGCGGGAGAGCGGGAGGGGAAAAAGAAGCCTGAATGACGACATTCTTCTGATCAAGCATTATGACCACCAGATGCACCTCAGCCTCCCGTCCAGTGGTAGCGTGCCCCTTTTCGGTTCGACCAGCTAGTCTAATAGTCCACGAAGTTCGCACTCGCGGGATCCCGGTCGAGCAAGAAGGCAAACCGGTCTGCATTGGCCTTCAAATAGCCCGGCACATCGGTTACGGGCGTCACCTTCTCGTACTTCTCGCTGTCGCGATCGAACAGATCCAGCCCGTTGCGCACGCGGCGCACGATCTCGCGCGGGTCGACGAACTCAGGGCGGTTGTACTCGGTATGCGAGAAGGCCTGGATCTTGTGCACCAGCTGGGCGACGGAGGCGAAGCAGGAGCTGCAGTGCCAGCTGGCGTTCCAGATGTCGCGGGCGCCAGCGCTGCCCATTCGCAGGTCCTGGGGCAGGATGGTGTGGTCTGGGCCGGCGTAGACGGTGGCCTGCGGGTGGTGCCAGTCGCGGCCGAGATGGTGCCACTGGAAGGAGTAGTAGTAGAAACGACTGCGCAGAGTGACGCGCGTGGGGATGGCGCAGTTGCGCAGCAGTGCCAGTGTGCGCGCGCGGGGGATCTCGTCCGTGTCCGACACTACCAGCACGTCGTCGCGCGCCGGCGCAGCCCGCCCCAGCAACGACGGGAACACCTCCGTGAGCAGCGCGTTGCGTATCCACGACTCCCGCTCCCAGGTACTGTTGTCCCGCAGGTGGCCCAGGTCCACTGCCCGGTACAGGATCTTGTCTGCGAACCGCGAGAAGTCGCCGAAGTGCTCCGCGAAGTGCAGCGGCTTGCCCTGCCCCGTGAATGTCTCGCTTGACTCCACAATCACGAAGTAGTCTACTTCGCTGTCCAGCTCGTGCATTCGGATCTCCAGCCAGTCCAGCTCCGTGCTGATCGGGATCAGGTCGTAGACCTTGCGCCGTTGGCTGCGCTCGCCATACGGCTCCAGATCGTGCTCGGCGCACAACGCTTGGGCTTCGTCTTCCGGCAAGAACCCGTGCAAGGCGTCCTCGGCCTTTCTGGCGGGAGCTGTATAAGCATGCGGGGCAAGGTGGCTGGAAGGCGTGGGGAGGTATGGCCTTGGCAAGAAGCACAGGGCTATCAGTAACACAGACAGTAGACACAGCTGCTGCATCCGCTTGCTGAGCATTCGGTAGGAATGCAGCTGGATGTGCTTGGGACTGAGCTTTGATTCTCCTTCCATTTGGTCCACTAAGAGACTGATTGTTCGAATGCTTGCTTAGAGAAGGCTCCCCCTCTGTCTTGAAAATTCCTATTGTGAGAAACTGCTTGATGATAGCAAATTTCCCCGAGGTGAAAGTAGGACGATGTTTGGAAAACAGGAAGACAAAAAAGCCCAAGGACGATGAGGCAATGGCACAGGCTTCGCTTCTGAATATACACTCATGTGGGTATGTGGGTCTATCATGTCAGTCTAGCTTCAAGGGGTTTATGGCAAGAGAGTGTTGACAGTCCTGCAATTCAATTTCACAAGACGAGGATCCAGAATCTAGACCTAGCGCCATCGCGCCAGGCTGTGAACGACCGGATCGGCGATTACACGTAGACCACCGCATACAGTAACGTCCCAGACCGAGTACTCGAATAACAGCCCGAGACAACGTAGCAATCTCGTGAGATCATCACTGTGGACGACAGGCCAAGGCGGGTGTCTAGCCGCTGTGATTCCGTGGTTGGAGCTCAACCGCGTCCGAACGTTGCATGCGAGATCGAGATTATGCTTAATTAACTCGGACGTGACATCGGAGTTCTTTGTACCTGAACTCTAAGAAGAAGCTTTCGGGTCTGGTTTCATGGTTTCATGGTTTCATGGTTTTGAGCAAAAGTAAATAAATGGGGACGCTGCGATAAGCTTTCTGCAAGATGAACACGAACCCAAATTCTCGGTACGGACTTCAGTGACGATCAGAGTGGAAATAGATCAAGCATGAAATCTGGACCTGGTCCTGCAATACTGCTCTAAGATGATCCTAACCGCGTATACACTACGACAGAGCGGTTTCCCTGCCTTGGAAATCTATTGAGCGTAGGCTGCCAGGACGCCTGAATACTGGTATTTTACGCATAGTTGGGAGTCAGTCAATAAACGACCCTATCATCCGTTTGATGGCAAACTGTTGCCGTAGTACGACAGGCTCAATGACTGTATAACAATTCAATAGACTATCGGGAGCCTCTGTGCATCACCACAGTGTAGAGCACAATGCCCGCCAACGCCAGGATCACCCCCAGAACAGTCTCCTTGCCCATCGTGTTCGAGCTCTTCACCCATCCCAACGCAATCACGAGACACGTCTTCAACTGCCCGACGACCGTGCTGGTGACCGCTTCAGCCCCGTTGATCACGAGGAACGAAGAGAGACTGATCAAGCACGCGCACCCACTACTCAGCAATAGCAGGCACCACTGGTGGGCGGTGACCGTGCTCCACTCCGGAAATGTATCGGTGAACAAAGTGATGGCGCCGAGTGAGATAGCGCAGAACGGGACTTGCTTGTACAGAAGCTGGATACTCGAGATGTGTAGGCGCGAGTGATGATGCGCAACCCAAACGGTGTACAGAGACGAGCAGAAGACCCCACTGAACGCATAGATGATGCCCAGTGTGGAGGTCGAATCGATGACGTGCGCGATCTGGCTCGCCGGGATTGACCGCTGTGAGAGTGTGTTGGAGTAGGTGACGAGCCCCACGCCTAGGCAGGCCGGGATGAGCGCGAGCGTCGCGTTGACCGGGATCTTGGAGCTGTAGAAGAAGAGGTTGACGGGCACTGTTAGTGGGGTCGGGAGGATGCGAATGATCTGGTAGCAAATGATTGAACTATATGCGAGGGATAGATTCATCAAGATGATATTGGCGCACATGATGAGGGAGAGGGGGAGGATCGAGAGCACGCAGGTCTCTGTCGTTGTGATCTTCAGAATTGATGCGTGTCGCACAATGCAGAGCAGGATGCCAGTGATGGTGAAATGATAGGCTACAAAGCTGAAATGACATTTTGAGAATGCAGAGTCCAAGAAGATCGATTTATTGGTGTATACCTGTCGAATCTGTTATCAGATGCTTTTCTCTTCACCGGTATTCTGGTGCCTCGGAAATCTCAGGTGTTCGGACTCACGATTGCAACAGTTGCTAAAATATTTGATGGCTATCCATCCTGATGTATTTTCGCTTGTCTCAATCCGCCCCGTGTCTTCAGGGCTGGGAGAGAGCGGTGCCTCTCCCACCTCGACATGCTTTTCTTTTTCCAGCAAAGACATGAGCCCAGGAGAATAGATTTGACTAAAGACCTTGTCTGTATTTCTAGCGACAGGCGAGAGAATGTAGTAATTCTTCACCATCACCGACTGATTAGATTGAGTGACTAGATATGTCTGCTAACCTTGAGCATTTTTCTACACAGGGATGGTGAGGTAACGACTTTCAAGCGAGGTCGGGTCTGCGCTGCCACGGAATGAGAGATAGAGTTAGGCAAACCACGGGGCGTTGTTAATTAGAGCCCACCCAAAGATTCGGCGGGAATCTTGACGTTCCAGTTCTTTGTCCAGGGCTGGGAACCAATTCTAGACCGACCGACCGACCAATTTTCTTATAGGCTTCAGCTTGGACTGGGTTGAGCTTAAACTGAATTAGGTATGCTTTTCATATTGCCCTTTTCTTCAATGATAGCGAGATCTTGCGCTATCTAAAGTAGATTTTGTTGAACTTCGATGATTTCATCACTCTTGCTAGTAATCTGGAACAGCTCATTTCAGCTATTCTTACAGAGCGCCAGGGATGCTTCTTTCTCTGGCACAGGTTTGCCATGACCTTTACTAGATATACCCAGTAACACCGACTATAATCACATCTTTAACCATGTCTTTTTCCAAACTACTTTTCTACTCCTTACTTCGATTCAACTCCGTTCCTCGAGTAAAAAACGCCCGAGCTTGGTGCTGGCATGCAGCACAAGGTGAAAGCCAATACACACCGGATTTCATAATCCCAGTCGCAGATATGCGGCTCTTCCAGATCAAAATCGCGACAGGAGTCCTGGTGCTGCTGTCAGTGGCCACGCTTCTTGCTCTCAACCGGCCGAAGCTAGAAGACCTGAGCCGAGTTGGCGCACAGTATCTCTCCGATGGGTACCAGCCAACCCACCAGTCTTTTGCGCTGTCGATGTGTCCGTTCCAAATTCCATCCACTGCGAAAGCATCTCGTGCGTGCCTGCCGCCGCGCCCAACATCCCGCAAGACCGCCCTAATCGGTGTCTGGTCGTCTGCCCAGGACTTTGACCGGCGCGCCCTCATCCGACTGACCTATCGCCGCTACAAACCCCACGACATCGACGTTTACTTCATTCTGGGGCAGCCTGAGACGGACGCTCACCAGACCCTGGTCGGGTTGGAAATGGCCGCCCACCACGACATCCTCATCCTCAACACGACGGAGAACCTGACAGAAGGCAAAACTTTCGAGTTCTTCCACACGGTGGGGACGATCTTCGAGGAGGGCGACTATGTTTTTGTGACCAAAATAGACAGCGATGTATGGTGCGAACTTCCGCAATTTGCGGCTCGGTTGCAAGCCCTGATTCGCCAGGGCCAGTCGACCGGGACGTACTTTGGCCGCGCGATTCACGAGACTTTCATGGCCGGGATGGCGTACACTCTGTCCTGGGATCTGGTGCGATGGGTGGCCACCGATCCGTATCCTGCGTCGCATCGCGAAGGGTTCGAGGACCAGGTGGTCGGGGACTGGTTGCACCGTAGCGGCTCGCTGAATCACTTTGTTTCCGAGGATCAGGCAATCTATGACAGCCCCGACTATCTGGTGGAAGGTGGATGGGCGCGAAACTACACGGACGGAACGTTGATTGTTCACCAGCTGAAGCAGAATGAGTGGTTTTTGCGGACGGCCAAACACTTTCTGGGTCAGCGGGATGCATAGAGGCCGATGCACATGCACCAAGACATACAGAAGATAGGTACCTACTGCTGGGATATTTCATCGTATTATTAATCTCGAGACGAGTCTTGTTTCTCTGCAAGGCACTGTGAGCTCGTTGCCATTTCGAGCAGGCGCGAGGAATAATATCATGTGACCGCGGGGTATAAAACCCCCCTCTTGTCCTTCTTTTCTCACCACCTCCCTGAAGCCTGGCATCAAAGAACAGCGAGCCTGTCTGTAATCTTGCAATATATGCTACTTATGCGGGTTATTGGCTCTTGGAAGCGCAATCTTCCGTCTATGCACCCCTTAGGATGGACCGCAACATCGCGACAGAATCATCGAGTATCAGACACGTAGTAAACCGCATGGAGAGAGTCTAAGGTCTCTTAGCCCTTGTTACCACCTTCTCATCCCAGGGGAGTTATGTTGCTCCAGTCAGGCAGAATTGATCCTCTTTCGTCGCCTTTATTGAGTATATGATGTCATGTCAACCAACCGGTACTTTCATCTATCGCCAGGAAAAGCCAAGCTTTGCTCTACTACCCTGCGCAACACACTTAATCGCAACAAAAGTCCATTTACATAAAGCAGAAATCTAACACAGCAAATCAATAAAAATCCATCAACGCACAGCCACCCTAGGCTACAGCAACACCGCAGCCCCCAACCCACCAACAACAACCCACCACCCCCTCCCCACCCCTTTCCCCACCCCCGTCCCCAGTGCCACCGCATCCCCCCGAGCCTGATTCTCATAAGGATCCTTAAACTGCCCGACCGCCCCGCGACTAACATTCACAACCGAAAGCATCCCATCCATGACCGCCCTTCCTTCCTCTCCCTTCTCGTCAATCAAATGATAAAGCGGCGCACAGGCCTCCACCGCCGTCCTATTCTCCACACCAGACGTACAATTATCCACCGTCCCGGTATAGCAATACCGATACGCCGTGAAATTCAGATATGCTGACTGGCCAGGCCGGAGCATGCGCGTGCCGTCAATTGCGCCGGCGATGCTGCGGCTGAACTCCTCCGACAGCGTGGCGTTGCCGACTGTCTCGTCGACGACGGAGATGAATGTCGCGGACAGTGCGGTGAGGTTCGTCTGCGCGCTGTACATGGCGTCGCCGGCTGCCGTGAGCGCGCATGTGAGGTTTCGGTTGTTGTTGTCTGCGCAGGTTGAGGCACCGCTGACGCGTTGTGGCGCGTAGGTTTTTAGGTATGCTGCGTTGTGGTTCCAGTTGAAGACGGTGCAGTTTGCTTGTGTGGTGGTGGTGGAGGTGGTTTGGGCGGTTGTGCTCAAGGTTTGCAGGAGTAGGAGCAGGAGGGCGATGGTGGGTTTGAGGGTCAGCATTTTGGGGACTGGTATTGTATTGTTCTCGGGTGAGGTGTGAGAGTGTTATGGGCTCGCGAGCTATGGGTCGTGAACTAGGGGCTCTGAGGCTTTTATGCTGTCGCAGTGCCCGTGGGCCGTGGTAATGGCTCGATACTTTTTGGTGTGTGAGGCTATGCAGCCATCCTGCATTGGCGCCAAGACGCTCGAGTCATTCGGCGCAACCACTGTCTCTTGGCGTGCTGACGCCCGGCGTCATGATGACTGGTCTTTTGCATTCGGATGGACATCTCGTGCATTATAGCGGAACTGTGTCAGTTGGAGTCCGTCATGGCAGTCGAAATGGACGGTGATGAGCGATACCTGTCTAATAGGCAATTTTGTCGGTCATAGTCCTGAGTGGTCGTCAACAAAGACGAGAACACAACCTACTGCACTAAACACATTTCTTTGCAGCATAGAGAGGATAACCAAGGCTTTACGCAGACCATCTTCACGATCCTCGTCCAGTTGATGGGAACCTGAAGGCGGCGGAGTCGGCCATACCGGCCAGAAAGAACGAACCGGCCAATGAGGGCAACCATATGCCCCAACTTAGTCGAGCCAAGAGAGAGATAGCCCCCGAATTTGAATAGCTATGTCGGCCAAGCCTGGCACAGCATCAAGGGTTCATTCATTACGAGATGTTTTTGTTGATAGCGGGTCGAGGGCGGCTCCGGGCGCCAAACGCCACCCCCGCAGCCTCACCGGATCCCGGCACCATGAGTATCGTCAGGCACCAGAGCCATGCGCGTTGCCCGCCAAGCATGGGTTCAATGGTGTTGGTGTTTCAATCTTCCTGCCAACTGTACCTCCTTAGCACAGCCACGACCGACTCGGGAGTAACTTGAATACTCGATATGCAACCGCCAATCCTTAGAAGGGTCTTTCCTTGCCGGGATCCTGATAACTTCTCATGCACACTACTGGATATATATCACTACACGCAGCCATTTCATTGAATCTACTAGACTTAATAATGTGTTCGAGGTTAGGATAATGGCCAGTCAAAGTCGAACTGTATTCGTTGAGTATAAGACTTATTTAACTACCATACAACAATCCATCCCCATGTAAGTGGCGAATGCAGCCACATCTACATACACCGAACCAAAAACCCGAGCAGATTCCGGTGTCCGCCTTAGTGCCTCAGGCAACAGCCCACCTTATCGCTGCCGCCCGCGCGATAAGCCGAAGTTCATCCACTCACTCCCCGCACGTCTTCTTCTCCTTCCTCTCGCACAGATCTTGAACTGTCATTGAGAGCCCTATCTAAGAACCGCTGAGGAGCACAGAAACTTAAGGAGAGAAGCGAATTATGCCTACCAACGTCGTTCTCTGCAGACAGCGATCCAGAAATCACGGCCATCCTTCCTGAACGGAAGCGAAAACGTCCTGCATTGTGTTTACACCAACGAGTCTAAGATAAGTCTTACTTGGACTTAGCTGGACACGAGGTACTGCCATGCAAACAACTTCATTCATGATGGGCCTGCAAGGGACTGAACAGTTGTGGATTATACTGGATGATATCTGGATCTCGCTTGCAAAGAAGACACAAACACACAAAAAGCAACAGCAAGACGACTTTGCTCACTAATCACCTCCCTCCTTTCCTCCGTCCTCGACAAAAAAAGTCAGGTCCTCGGCGTGCACCTTCGGCACGCTCGAAATCCTTATCCATGAAGCACTTGACCACATACCCCAGAAGGCCCCGCTGTGACTTCCACGACACCACCTGCGTCACGCGTTGACCTGTCCTGTCCCTTATACCAGGGAGATAAGGATAGCCGGGGGAGAACCCCCAGACCCCCCTTCCTTTCAGCTTCCTGGCCACCTCAATCTATACCTCTTCTACGCTACAGTTCATTCGGCTCAACAACAGAGACTTGCCAATGACGACATATCCTATACTCCAAAGAACTCGCAACCCAGAGCGGAGAAAGTCCATATACATGCTAATAACAACAACCACAATAGGGAGATACAAGAAAAGAACTACGCCTCCGTTCCCTTATCCCCATCTTTAGGATGAGGCCTATTCTTGACACTCCGCCACCCAACTCCCCACACAAACCCAAACTGCACCATCGACAGCGCCGTCGCAAGATAAAACACCTCATCCACGCTCTTCGCATACGCGACCAGCACAGCCGGTAAATCCCGCGCATCCACCACAGCCCGGAACCCCGTTGCACCCGCCTGGATCACGGCCTCCGCGTCAACGCCCGGCGCGAATTCCGAAATTTTCGTGCGCAGCCCCTGCGCGAAGATCACCTCCGCCACGGCTAGGAAGATCGCGCCGCCGAACGTCTGCGCGCACGTCATCATTGCCATTGCTGTTGAGATGTCGTTTTCGGTTACGTTGTTCTGGATTGCGATCATTGGCTTTCTCTCTCTGTGAGTAACTATCTATAGAGAAGGATGTTCCAGGGTCTGGGTATTCGGGCTGGGGATGATATTTGGATTGAGGTGCCAGGGAGCTGAAGAGAAGGGGGGTCCGGGGGTTCTGCCCCGGATGCTTCTGTCTCCCGGGTGCTTTGGGGTGGGAGTGGAAGTGGGCTCACGATTTGGGAGATGGCGCCTCGGCCGAAGCCGACGAGGGCCTGATAGCCGGCCCAGCGGGGCACGGAAGTGTGCGGGCCCAGGGTGGAGAGGAGGCCGTTGCCGACGGCGTCGAGGATGGCGCCGAGTACGCCCCAGGGGAGGTAGTAGCCGAGTTTGGATGCTGCTGGCAGTTAGTCTTGGGTGGAAGGACTGATCAGGGTGGAACATACTCAGCACGCCAGACACGACAGCCATGACCAGCTGGCACAGGATGTTCGGGAGCAGGTTGACACCGCTGACGAGGGCGGATTTGCCGCGCACGGATTGGAAGTAAATGGGCAGGTAGTAAGACAGGGTCATGGTGAAGCCGAAGATGACCATGGCCAGCAGGCTGCTACACAGCACGATCTGGTTGGCGACGAGGTGGCCGGGGATCATGGCCTCGGAGCCCATGCGGCGCTCCCACAGCGCGAACACCGCAAACGTCACGGCCGCGCCCACGAACAGCCCGATCACCGTCGCGCTGTCCCACGCGTACCGATTGCCGCCGTACTGAAGCGCCAGCAGCAGCATGATCGACGCCGGCCCGAACAGCACGAATCCCACCAGGTCGAACTTCCGCAAGAACACCGACTGGAGCACCTCGCGCGCCGGCGCCTTGGGCTTCTGGTCTGGGATGCGCGTGAAAAGGAGCAGGCCCCCCACCATTGCGCCGATTGGCAGGTTCATGTAGAAGCCTGCGCTGCGTTAGCTATGGACTTTTTGGACGCAGGGAAAGTAGGTGATACTCACACCAACGCCAGGTCGAGTACGTCGTGAAGGCGCCGCCAACCAGCGGCCCACCTACGAGGCCCAGTTGACCGACTGAAGAGAGTCAGCGCCTATACAGAACGACAGTAGGGAGGAGGTATACCGCCCATGATCACCCCGATTATCGCCGGGCGCTTCTCGTTCGGCACCGCGCCCGCCAGGATGTTCAACGCCCCGTTCAGCATCCCCGAAGAGCCCATGCCGGCCACCGCGCGCCCGACGATCAGCATCTTCGACGAGGTGGCCACGCCGCAGACCAGCGAGCCCAACTCGAACAGCGCGAAGAACGACAGGAACGTCCATTTCAACGAGAAGTACGTGTAGAACTTGCCGGTCAGGGGTTGGAGGGTTGCACTACATGCATGCGGCATTAGCAAGCAAGTCGCGTCTATTATCCGGTGACCTTCGCATACCTCGAGATAGTATACGCACTCCCATACCACGCTACATCCTCCAACGAGTTGAGTTGATTCGTGATCTTCGGAATCGCCTGGAGAACACCTTGTCAGCCTTAAACAATATCCTCCACCGCACCAGACCTACCGTCGACACAATCGACACATCCAGTAACATCAGAAACACCACCAGCGTGATCCCCGTGTTCACCATAACCAGCGTCACCCCCTGCACCCACTCGGGCTCGTACTCGCCGCCGTCCGTGCGCGCGGGCTTCTCGCCATGACAGTCCTGCTCCTGGTCGTGGCCCTGATTCTGGTCCCAGGGCGTCGCGCTGAAGGCTAGCAGCCCCGGCTGGCTGCTGTCTTGACCCATGGTGACGGCGTGGTAGCTTTTCGATGACCGCGTTTCCTGGCTGGAGTACGCCATTATCAATGTGAAACTGTTTTCGTGGTTGGAAGGACCAGACTGCCTGCGACGGCCTGGATTGTCTTAAGTACGCGAACCGGAGCAGGCGTTGGCGGATGCCGGCCCCGAACGCCATTCGCTTGGCTCTTGAACGCCGGGTGCGCCCTGAATGCCGTCCCCCTTGTATGGATGCTGTCCGTCGGGTAAGAACCTTGGTACAGGGGCAAAATACGGACTTATTGAAGTGATATTGCACAGGGAAAGTGATTACACTTCCTGGTCGACCTCAATCACTATATCAGTATAAGCGTCCCGAGGGAGATCCCCCGGACCCCCCTTTCTCTCAGCTTCCTGGATCACGGGATTACTCATTATCTCGTCTTGCCTCTTCTCGATTGTGTAATTGTGCTTACTTGTGTGGATCTTACCGCGATATTCCACGATGATTACTCATTATATCTAGTATAGGGCTTGCGGTAGACCAGGAAGCTGAAAGAAACGGGGGCCCGGTGGGTTCTCCCCCGGAATGCCTATTCTTCTGGGTAATAAGATTGCAGTGGGCACAGCCATAAGACGTAATTACGACCACGACCCCGCGAACTCGCCGGACCCATTCCCATCCGTCAACCACGCCATCTCAGACCAGCTGAGAAAGCTATCGAGATCGCCAAGGTCCAAGCCGGAGGAGAACGGCTCACCGGTAGCGCGATCGACCACGGCACCAGGACACTCGGGCAGACGGACAGCCCACTCGCCGCGCAGCTTCTGCATCATCATGCCGAGCTTGCTGAAGGGGTCGCCGTTGGAGCGCTCGCTGCGCATGCACACCGCGGCAGCCACCTGTCCCATGCGCGTGGCGATCTGCTCCGCGATGACCAGCAGGTCGACACTGCTTCGCACCGCGGCCTTGTCCCAGCCCGGGTATTCCAGCGTCGACAGCCGGAACAACGTGACCAGGCAGTGCGACACCTGTGTCAGGTACGGTAGCGCCAGCGAGGTGTAGTCGGCCGGCGCGATCGTGAAGAACAGGTCAAGAAACTGTTTTACCACGTGCAGGCACGCGTACAAATGGCCCAGCCGCTGGCTGTTCATCCCCTCGTCTGCTGGTGCTTTCACCAGTGCTACCTCGTAGAGGCTGATTTCTGTGTCGTAGAGGTTGAAGAGGATGAGTTCTTGGGCGGTTAGTAGCTGTCATTGATTGTAACTTACAGGAGGTCTGTTGACGTACTGTTTTCGGCCAGGTGCATGGGTAGCTCGGCTCTTATCGTCTCCACACGCGACTCGAATGCCTTGAGGTGAAAAGCCGCCAGCGCCTGCGCCGGACTGAGCCCGTACACCCCCTCGCTCCACGGGCCTTGCAGGATCTGGTCCGCCAGGAGCCGCGTGCGCGTCATCTGGACCAGCACCCCGTCCCCTGGGATCTCTTCGCTGTGCGCGAGTATGTCGAGGCATTCCTTCATGTGCGAGGTCCAGCGCAGCGGATCCATTCGGCCTAGGAATTGCGCGATTCTGCACCCATCAGTCACTTGGTCGGTCTGTGAAAAGTAGGCATGGTCTCTTACATGGACGTGAGTACGTAGCAGCCTAAGACCGCGCGGCGCTCGTTCATCGTGCGCAGGGTCGAGATTGAGGCTTTTAGACCCGGCATGTGGCCGACGGCATTGCTGTTGGAGACGGTCATGCTGAGGTCGCGCGGGGCGGGCTTGTTGAGGCCTAGCTCGAAGACCAACCCGATGGCCATCTGGGCATAAATACAGAGCGAGGACTTTTGCGGCTGGCTGTATAACGTGACCCTGGGACGGTCAGTAAGGAGACACCTGAAACGCCCGGGGGACCATGGCGGTCGAGCCAGAGGGAACGCAATACCAAGCGAGATAGACCAGCACGCCCTGCAAGAGATCCAAGGACTTCTCGCAGTGGACCAGCAGGCGCTTGCCGGCCAGCTCGCGGATGGTGACACACAAGGCTGCTTGCCGGGCAGCATGCTTACTCTCCACCGCAGTGATGCAACGCCAGAGGAACGGCGACTGCTGTTTCAGCTCCCGCGCCGTGGTGGTGGCGGGGAGGTGGATCAGGGGCAGGAACTGCAGGCGATGAGTGCGGAACGCATGCAAAGCCGCGTCTTCCTCCGCTTCAGGGTCTTCTTCGTCGTCGTCCCCTGTGACAGTATCTGGTCCGGTCTCAGGCTGGTTGTCCAGCGCCTCCTGCGCGGAGGCTTGGACGGGAGTCGGCGCTGGCAATCCGGTCCGGCCGGCAGAGGAAGTCAGCAGCATCATCAGCCCATCCATCTTCCGCTCCAGTTGGACGGCTTTTGATAGCGGTCGAGTCTTGCGTCGGCCCTGCGCCACGCGGCATTCTTTGTTGAGGCGGTGACACCTGATTCATGTTCATATCAATGTAAGCCGCGGGTTTCTCTCTTCGCACAGGGTCGGGTCGACCCACCTTTCGCAGCGGCCGCCAGCACTCCGCGGAACACAGCGACACTTGGCCCGAGCACAGGTGGCACACGCATTGCCGTAGGGCAGAGGCGCGCGCGCGGGAGGTTCCATGATGATGTGACTGCTATCTGCTGAGTGACTTCGATCTGGGTACAGGCGGAAGGGAAAGGGGAAGAGGAATAGGAAACGGAGGAGGAAAGGAATGGGCAGGAAGTAAGTAACTGTCAGACTCGAAAGGAACCGGAGACGGCGTTGGCGAATCCCGATGCAGCACGTGATTTGGCTGACTGCAGAGGCTGGAGTATCGATTGGTTGTGCATAAATGCTACTGAGAAGTATTTTGCTCTTCACACCTGTCACTTACACTCGTGGTTGACTCAATACTAGATTTCGACTGCAAGTCACTTACAAAGTAAGTACGATGAGAGGACGGTGGCGTCTACCACACAACCTGCCCTAACCATCCTATGCAATTCAGATGTTGGAAAAGGAAGCAGATAGACTAGACTCGAGAGTCTCGATGCTCCGCACAAGTTAGTCCCCTCCGCGCAGCTCATAGATAATCGAATCAAGCATGGCAGCGATTGGTGGTGAGTATGAAGGACTCGTACCTTGTCAGGCAGGAGTCTAGGATAGGGCTGGGCATCGTTTCGAGAACTTTACTGAATATACCCCGCTCTTGCACTCTTCCGCCACTCGATTACTACCACTAACTGCAGTTAAGAGCCATGATCGGATGGCGAACGTCTCATATCGAGGTAGGGTTGCTATTTCGGTAGTGGTTTCAACTTTTTCATCATATTCCAATATGAGGCCATCTTTGCGACCCCTCCCGGGTAGCCATCTGCCAAAGGATTGTGTATAAGTCAGGCATCAACACACAATCGGTGTATTCATGATGAAGGATCATTGCGTCGCCACTTGCTTCAGGATTTCAACTGCACCAGTTATACATTACACTTGTCTTAAACATGATAGAGGTCCCCGCCCCAGGACCACGCGTTACTCACGTCCCGTCGTCCAATCCCAGAACCTACAGCGTACACCTCCCGCACGAAGCAGGCGCCACACTCGCATGCTCCACGAGGGTGGAGCGACTCTGCGCCTGTCTTGAGCGCGGGACATCATTGGACGGATTCAGCTCGAACAAGCTCGTCGGTTTGAGCGAGACGGCCATCTTCTCGACGGGCATGACGGCAAAATCTGCATAAGGTCAGCTAACCCCCAACAGCCACTTGGAATTATATGAATACATACCTTCCGGGCGTGTGATGTGGGTGGTCCCAAACGTGTGCCAGAGCACGACGTCGTGGTTCTCGACGGGCTGCGCGCGCTGGCTCCACACCCCAAGGCCGGTGTCGTCGGTGCCCTGGTTGGTGAACTCGCCCGCGGCATAGAGCTCTTCATCGCGGTAGTCCGTGACTCAGATGAGCTTGGAGGAGAAGCGGTCGCGGTGGGAGTTGAATGTCTCGGGGCTCATCATCAGCATCTGGCTCGGCGAGGCGTGCAGCTTGTAGTCGACGGGTTTGCCGGAGACGGCGTTCAGGCGGTTGGGGTTGATGATGCGATAGGTCCGGGCACTGGGAAGGTTGAGGTCGTAGCCTCCGGGTTGGGTAATGGGGGTGGTGTGCACGCGGAACGCGCAGCCCTGTAGACGACCGTGTTGCGCACGCCGTCCAGGACCGGGCCGGCGCGCAGGCTGAACAGATGCTGATGGTTGACGGCCAGCACGCCGGGCGCCACGACGGTGCCCCAGGGCGAGACGGTGTTGCGGGCGATGGGCATGATTGACATGATGCCCATGGCTCTGACCTCGACGTGCAGATTGACCGCCTGGTCCAGCACGAACGCCAGGATGTACTCGTAGTTGAGCACCGTGGCCGTGCATTGGATGACCAATGTGCGGTTGCGCACCATCGATGCTTGCCCGTTGCGCATGTTGGTGTGCTTCCAGCCGACCCCGTCGTCCACCTGTGCATGCAGATCACGTTCTTCATCTCAATCGGCTCGCCCGCCGCCGTCGTGTGGATCCCGTCGAAATACGCAATGTGGCCCAGGCAGTCGCAGCCCAGCGTCAGCGTGTTGGCCGTCAGCCCGAGCCCCGAGTCGCCCAGGTCAAACGCCTGTTAGCGCCGGTACGGAGCCCGCGGGTCGCCGTACGGCACCGTCATCTCGCTCATCGACACCCGGTGGAACAGCGACCGCCCGTCGTAGGAGACGTTGTTGAGGACCGGTCCTTCGCGCACCGTCCAGCCCAGATGGAACGACCACTTCTGCCAGGTGATCTGGCGTCCGTCCATACGGAACGACGGGCCGTCGGGTTGGACAACGTTTAGCGGTTTCAGATCGGTGCGGAAGTAGGTCTTGCCTAGGAGGCGCTCGCTGTACTCAACGGGCGCAACGGCGCCCCACGGCATCGTGTCCGGATCGAGCTCGGTCCCCACGCCTCGAGGCAGCTTCTCGACCTCGACAAGCTCCGCCGTGTGGGCGTCGAATATCGGCGCGAATGCGACGGGAATGGAGTAGGGGTTCGCTTCGGGATCATCGTTGAGGACGATGTACATGTAGCATTGGTAAAGGCGGCGGTTCTTATCGGGTCTGTCAGTACCGTACAGCCAAGGATCGTTGACTACCGATGCTCTGCTGCAATTGGTTTTTTTGGGCTCCCCCTGTCCTCGAGAGATATAGTCTAGCAAGATAACACTCACCCCTAGGCAGCTTGAGCTTCTCTACCTCTGCGCGAACCAGAGGATGCTCGTCGCAGGCTCGGAGAACACGCTCGAACTCCTCGAAGTCGGCCGGTCCTTACGCCCCTGGGTACGCGCGATCCTCGTCTACTGTTCCCTTGGTGAGGTTCACTTTCGCCTTGCGCAGCGTGGATACCCCTGCTGATGATAGTAGATGTAGGCCCTCCGCGGGAGTGCCAGTGCGCTGTGCGTGCGGTCGTTCTAAATATGTCAGGAGTGAAGCTTTGGGTGGCTCAAGAAGATCAATGACCTTGAAGCGGATCGGAGTGGACTGTCGATGGACGCACAGCCAATGTAGGTATGCTGGCAACTTTACTCTATCTGTATAAACCCACGCCCGCAAATCATTACCCAGGTTCTTAGCGAGTACCATGATCGCTTTGGAGCTTCTCCGACCGGGATAATATGATTGATTTCTCGCGCGATCGACGCTGAGGGGATTTCCTCATTGGGGATGCTTTCCAACCTCAGCGCGCATAAAAAGTCAGCAACATGAAACAACCACCGAGGAGTATTGCGGGGTACCAGAGGTAAGCTTATTGACCCACGGTTGGGGCTAGTTGATTTGACGTCAGTTTCGAGCTGATAAAGTATAAGCTCCGGGAGAGCAATTGTCTACGAGGTTGAATGACCTACCCACAATGGGTACTGTTCTCCGTAAATCTGGAGATTGTGAGACGTCGGAGGTAGAGGTCGAATTATACCACTGAATGCAATTCTTCTCGCCAATCTATCATACAAGCTGGATTTCCTTTGTTCAACAGCACGCCGTGATAAGCCCAACCGTGAGTTGACCGCCTATTAGCGCTGGACTAAGGATGTGATTGCTGCAAGCCAGACAGTGGTATACTCCCAAAATATTCGACTTACCCTATTTTGATGGAAATAGGCGCGGTGGTGAGTTGGAAGCATTTCCTATTGAGGGCAAGCCTGCAGGCGGGTTCCCGTATTCGGCAATTAAGGCCACTCTCGCCTCCCCCTCAAGGCTTCCATCCCCAACAATCTTGGCGGCGCTTATCTGGAAGTCATTGCGTCGATAACTCCAGCATGGAGCATATAATAAGCGAAACTCGGGTGAGGGAACACGCCACTCAACAAATGCAACCAGTGCAAGTTGACATACCCATTCATTACCATGCCATTCGATCCGACCAAGTACAGCGACGAGGTCCAGAAAGTGTCTAAAGACACCCCTCTAGAAGAGATTCTGTATTTGCTCAAACGTGATGGCGGAGTCTTCGTCAAGAACCTCATTCCTAAAAGTGACGTCGATCAGGCCTATGAGGAGGTCAAATCACGGTTGGACGAAGATGTAGAATGGAACGGTTCCTTCTTTCCCGGTATGTCCTGACTTGCAAGACATCTGGAGACGACACGACTACTAATGCAGCTACAGCACAAACCCAGCGGGCCCCATCGCTCATCGCCAGGAGTCCAACCTACACCAAAACTCAAGTCATGAACCCGCTCTTCCGCGAGGTTTGCGACCACTTCCTCACCTCCCGCCGATGGTATTGGTGGGGCGAGGAAAAGAAGCTCTCCGTGGCGAAGCCCTACGTGCATTCCTGCACGGCGATGCGGATCGGCCCCGGGGGCACGGCTCAGCCGCTCCACCGGGACGACTACATCAGCCATCGCTGGCACCAGGAGATCGGACAGTGGGACGACGTTCGGGACTCGGAGCGCGAGTCGTCGATCGGGCTCTTTGTCGCCGGTTGTCGGGTCACCAAGGATAACGGGGGCACTGCGTTCATCCCGAAGAGTCATCTATGGTATGCCTCGAGATCCAGCTAGTGATACCTTTGAGCGCGCTGACACAGCTATTAGGGGCTCGGACCGTACAACTCCCCCGAAGGTTGAGCAATGCATCTACGCCGACATGGAGAAGGGCGATGGCTTCTTGATGCTCGCGTCAGCATTCCATGGTGGCGGGGCAAATGTCACGAAAGACGAGAAACGACTGCTTTTCGCCACCTTTATCATCCGCGGCTACCTGCGGCAGGAGGAGAATCAGTTCCTGGCTGTGCCGGCTGATGTTGCTCGGAGCTATGACCGGGACATCCAAGACTACATGGGGTATTCGATGAGCGAGCCGGCTTGTGGGTGGGTCGAACAGTTGGATCCAATCTACCACCTTCGTCCGGAGTTGAAAGAGGATGGACGACCCAAGGACTTCTAGTTGGTCCTGTTGGTGTAGGAGTGTTGATACAAAACGCGCAATGTGGGCGCTAAAGGACGGTTTCAGTATCTCGGGCTCCCGCCTATGGGCAGCTAATCCCGTAAGCGTGCCATTTCTATGCTAGATTCAAGTAGCTTGAGAGGATCGTCACACCTAAAGGTCGCTATGTTGCGTGCGTCAGTGCAAGCTTTCGCCGTGTGATATGCTGACAACCTTTTCTCCATGAAGATACTAGTAGAAAATAGAGAATGGAAGTAAACAGTGTAGTTGTTAGCAGCATTAGCCACCGCGAACTCATGCAAAACAGGAACATCAGCCAGTGTTGAGGTCTCAGTCTGGTCAAGCGCATGGCTCACCGGGAAGCATTGACAAAACTACGGTATGCACCCGGACAGAAAGGGAATATCCGTCTCCTTGATTCAATCACACCTTGGCGTTGGCTAATATTTCTCTAGGCTATTTCGGGGGTGGTTCCGTGGAGCGGTGGAGATGCTGGCTATCTTTCCCAACAAGGCAATGCTCCCCACTGCCCCCGATTTTGGGGATGGCTTCAATCAATATACGAGCTTCAGGAGCGTCGTGATTGTCATGAAAGGACATTATAAAGATCTTGAAGACACACTGGAAGATATCTGGCCATTGAATCAACAAACATGCCTTCCACCAACAACAGCTCACAATTGTCCAGTCTTTCGGCCAACTTGGGTGGCAAGACGGCCATCGTCACCGGATCTTCCATGTAACACGATAAATGTCTATCTTCTCGACCCGCCCTTGCTGATAATCGCACTAAAGAGACATTGATGCTGGAATCGCGGTGGACTTGGGACGTCGCGGTGCGGCCGTGGTTATCACTTACACCTCGGAACGGTCCCGCGACGCAGCTTATAGTGTTGCAAAGACCATTGATGATTCTATATCTGGGGGAAAGGGTCTACCAGTTCAAGAAGACGTCACGTCCGCTAGTGGCAGACAGACGCTTGTTGAACCGCCGTGAAGGCGAGTCCACAGGATACCATCGATATTCTCATTCATAATGCTGCCGACGGGGAAGATCGATTTTTGGAAGACGTCACTGGCGAATTCTTCAACAAGATGACCGATCTGAACCTCAAAGGAGTTTACGATCCACGTATTGCTTTTGCGAAAGGATGAACAAGGAAGACAGGTCACTGATTTCATGATACTCAGCCCCTTTGCTGCTAACTAAAGGGGTCGTGCCCCATATGCCGCGAGGCGGACGCATTGTCCTCATCACCTCGGCAGCGGCACGCATGGGCGTCACACAAAAAAGCGTCTACGTCGTCACCAAAGCAGGCCATAAAGCTTTCTGATAACAACCTGTATTGCCGCATAACTAACCGCGGCCAGTTCCACGGTAGTGGTCGGCCTGGCGCCTTTGTTCTTCTGAGCTGGTGTTTTCTCTAATCCCTCCAGCTATCGCATAGGACATCTTAATGTTGCACGAAAAGGTCGGTAAGTCTCTGTCGAATGTGTATATCATCACCTGCTCACCACCATTGGCATGAGCTAGATCCAGCATGCGGCACTTGTCGCAAGAAGTGCCGCCAATGCGACCGTACACGCACCCGTCTGTCGTAGGTGTCAAGTGAAGCGCCTCAAATGCGAAGGCTACCCACCACGATACGTCAATCTGGAGGAGCCGTCTATTCATAAGCGTCCGCGCACTGAGAACACCAGCCTTTATCAACATGGGATTTTCATGCTTCTAGCCTCGGTATGTGGCTGTTGGCCAGCCAGTGGTTGTTCCTTATTGATTAGTATCTCTCACCCAGAGCAGGAAGCCTCTTCAAACACGCCCAACAATAGCATCGTGATATCACAGCCACCTTCGTCAGTGGAGGTGAGACCTCGGAAGTCGAGCTCACGTTCCTCGAAGCCGTCGTCACGCAGGAGGACACGGACTCGAGGTCAACAACCAGTCACGAACACGCGCGCCACCTCGGCGTTCATGCAGGAAGACTGGCGAAAGATTCATAAAATTCTTGAGTCGGCAGAGAATCAGAGATTGGTTCTCTACTGTACGTGGATTCGACCCGGTGAGATCCGCGATGGCTGATGCGGATTTCAATCAGTTAGAACAACAGTTTGCGCCGCCCTCGGTATCGAAACCAGCGGAACTCCGAACCCATATCGAGCATACGTTCTGCCTCTCGCACACCAAGACCTGGGGAACCTGCATGCTGTTCTAGCACTCGCTTCGTGTCATCAGCACCCCTCAGAAGCACAGCCCTCAACGAACAAGATAAGCGTCGCAGCGATGATCGAGCACCAGCTCGCTGGGATGCAATCACTCAGTGCACTGCTGATCAGAGAAGAATTGTATGGACTCGGTGCGGAAGAACTCGATATTCTTCTCGGGACGGTACTTCCTCTTTGTGCTTTGCGATGTGAGTCTAGTATCCTGTATGTCGATAACGAGCTTCTGACAGTGTCAAGGTCTGCGAGTCGGGCATCTCCTCGCACGGCCTTCTTGATCACCACCTTAGCTTGGTAAGTCATGGCCATCACTCTTTGAACCCGGTGCAGTCGCTGAGAATGCACTGCAAGGCTGAACCTGCTGCGTGGCTTTAGCGGAGCCGAGAAGTTAGCCTACGACGAGGACGTGCACCGCTGTGTCCTCCAGTTCGACCACTTCAACCTGGAAAGCATGTTCGGATGCCCCGTGGACCTATTCTACCGCATCAGCAGAATCCTCAGCTCAGCGAAGCATTACCTAGCCGGAGCCTTATCATTCTACAACTTCGAACAAACCCTCGCCGAAGCGGAACGCTTCTTCCGAACCTGGGTCGCAAAAGACAGTATAGAAACCGATCCAGCCCCAAGCCCAAGCACCAGCCTCTTCCCACCCTCCACCCTGACTGACGAATGGAAAGCGCTGGCCGAGGCGTATCGGCACGCGTGTATAATCCGTGTGCTACGGTTTCCGGATACGCGTCTGATTCCGTGCGAGGACCCGACTATTGAAGCCTCGGTGGTGGGGATTCTCGATGCGGCTGCGAGCATTGCCACAGAGTCACCCTTGGTTCAAGCGGTTGCTGTTCCCGCTCTTCATTGCAGGCGCCGAAACGTCCGTGCCGCATCGGCAGCGGTTCGTCGAGATGTGTATCGCTGAGATCAAGCGGAAGAGTGGGTTTCAGCATGCTGCTATGACTGAGATCCTGAGGCAGGTGTGGGAGGAGATAGCGCAACAGGTGGATGAATCTAAGAATGTGCCGTGGATGGAATATGTAAGTCGCTCTTTACCGATTGTGCACCTTGACTGTCTGAGTAGCTTGTCGCGGGTGCTGATCATGGAGTAGACATGCTCGATAGGTCTGGTACGGCAGCATGATTATCTGTTCTTTTAGATGTTGGGGCTGGCACTGGGGTTGGTTCGAGTGCTGAGGGTGCGGGCTTGAGCGGGGTGCATTCATATAAAGCAGACTGCACGTCGATGAGCCTCGCGCTTTTGTTCGGTCTATTCCTTAGATCATTGACCCACATGAGGAGTCTTTTGTGTATATATGTTGTATGTAGCAGCCAATCAGAATTGAAACACGATCTCTGAGTCGCGCGACGTGGTGGATGGAGACCGAATGCCCCGCCAGCGACGACGGCGCCAAGGATTGCTCTTGCGACAGGCTCTCGTACCTATGTCCCGAATGGGCTCGCAATACGAAATCCACAGCACCAACAACGCATGCAAAGGACTGGATGGTCGAGATGTGATTTGCTATTCCTGTCGATGTCTGCCTATTCGTTTAGGAATGAGTAAGAGGAGAACTCGACAATTGCGCGGTTGAAAACATGGACCGCGACAGCTGTATATAAAGCTCGCCATCCTTGAATGAGCATCCGGATCTCCATCTCTAGGCCATCAATCGATCAACAAATCTAAAACATCTTCTATAGCTTCTATATCAAGCCAGGAGATATGATCAACCTTGCCCTCGACAACCATCCGCATCTCAAGCGTCGCCTACACATCATCATCGGCTCCCTCCTCACCCTCACTTTCATCCTCATCATCGCCCGAGTAGCCGACAAAGGTACCCCAACAACACGCACCAATACGTGGGGCATCGCAGTAGTAAGATCTCACGCAGCATAGTATCCAGACCAACAGAAGCTCCTCTAACAAACCAAACGTTTACTACACAGTGCATCAAAGCAGCCGTCTTCCTAGCATACCAAGTCCTCACCACCTACACGGACCGCTTCAAACGATGGGCCAGTCCACGGGCCAACATGATTCTGGACATCATCGACACGGTCTTCTGGTTCGCGTTGTTCATTATCAGTATCATGGGCGCGAGCGGGGGTCAGAGTACAAGCAGTAAGGCGCTAGGTGGGGTTGTGGCTGTGCTGGCTTTGACGTTGTGGTTAGTACTTATCTTTCTTTATCACAGTTGCAGATACTGATGAGGTGAGTGTAGCGGGATGGTTGGCTTGTTGGCTTTTGTGTGTGTGCAGGATTGGAGGTATTTCAAGATGCATGGGGTTGTTCCGGGGGTGGTCAAGTCGCCTTGTTGAGGGGATCGATCGGGATCGATCAGGATGAGGATGATTGTATGAGAGCTCGGGTCTTGGGATCAATTTTCTTGGTAATTCCGCCCGATCTAGGAGTCGGAGAGGTAAAGTGACGGTCCTGAGTATTTTGGGAATGATGTCTATGTACGAAGGCGCCTGTTTTGCTGCACCATCGTAGCTTGGGTTTCGTCATGTGACAGCCGATCTATTCATAACCACTCCTAGTGTGTAGTCGTCATTCATTATGGAGGAGGACCGAGTTCATAACGTTAGCAAACTTTCTGTCCTTCATTTATCATACTATATTCCATGTCTATTAATGAGATAACCACCATTGTCCCTACAAGGTCGATGAAATCATAATCTAACACGACGGCTGAATGCGGACGACGGCAAGCTGTCATCTTCGCCACCTCAGTAGATCGCTGGTTAGCGAACCGTCTCGAACGCCTGGACCAATTTCACCCCAACTCTATCAATCAGATGGTGAAGCCTACATTACCTCATATCGCCGGTTAGTGATTGTCGAGGCTTGTTCCTCCGAATCACGGCTCGAATATTAAAAGCGACCGATCCATCACTGTGGTCTGCTATTAGACAACGAACCACCTTGCAACGATATACCTCTTCTTCAACATAACGCAACACATACTACCGCAAAAATGGTGAAAGACTTGGTCAGTGCAGAGTGCTTGGACGTTCGTTGCATCACCTCACTCTTGTGCTGATCATTCATCGAAAATAGACTTTCGACATTCGCTATGACAACGAATTGGCCCATCAATATTATGGGGACGGGTCCAAACTCACAGACAGGTGAGACTCAACCCGCCAGCCATCAATCACTAGTCTAGGGGGTCTGAGTCCTGACCATTCGCTAGTATTCGGGAGACCTACAAGGCCAAGAAGCTGGAGATCCCTGATACGTACGAGTCCACGCTGACCACCCCACCGATCCATTTCATGTCGTAAGTCGGGCCAGCCTGGAGGACTGCGATACGAAACTAACCTATGGTGCCAGGGTTTCTGCGCCGGACGATGTGGAGATCGATGAACTTCGGCAGATCAATGTGCCTCCGGGTCTGAATATCGAGATCTTGGACTTTGAGATGTGAATGAAGTTCGTTGATGTACTTCAAACGTAAACGCTCGGGGTTCAAAGGGATCGGGATGATCTTTGTTAGTGGAGTCATACCTATTCTGGCAACCAACTGAATGTGATTGGAAATTGTACTGTGACAGACTCCGGATTTACTTGTAGAAATGATGGACTGGGGATGAGGAAAGCATGACTTGACTTTTAGCGCGTTGCGCTTTCCGATATCCGACTCCTTCTCTTCTTTACCTCCCTTTCCCAAGCCAAACTCCACTGCTTTTTCCCATTTTCTACTTGCCTGGGTAGACTCGCTTCACTGCCACTCCAGACACTCCATAGCCACACTTTGTCATGGCTTCAACCCCGTCCTCGTCAGCAGGCCCAAGCTCACGTGAAATCAACCCCAAAAGACGCAAAATCCGAAAGGGCACGTTTTCTTGCTGGAAATGCAAGCATCGGAAGAGAAGATGCATCTTCGGACCAACAGGCAATGCCCGCTGCGTGTATTGCTGCAGCCGAGGGTTGCCATGCACTAGCCAGTCCTTTGCCGATCCAAGCAGCAGTAGCGAGTACGACCAAGTCCATCACCGCATCCGGCACGTCGAATCGCTCATGGATTACCTTCTTCAGCAGCGGAAGACTCGTCAAAAGCCTTCTTCACAGGTGGCGGCAAGAAATGAAAATGACCGGCCCTCGCTTTTGAGTCACAACGGCCTCGATGGGGACTCCGCTGGTGTTCTCGGAAATCCAGATCACGACCGCGATCGGCGCGTCTCTAAGCTTCTCCTGGGTAGATATCTTCTCTCATACATTCCTCCGCCTTCAATTGCCTTACTGATTTTGAACCAATGCAGTTTTTCTACTTCCCGTTCCAGCTCGTACAGTCACCGTGGGGAAGCCACCCGTGTGCGACATCCGACGGAGCTTATCCCGACGAGACGTTGGGACTGCCCTCGTCAACAACCCAGCCAGTGGATCTCGCTTGGAATCTTGTCCAGCTGGCTTTGGGATCGCAACAACTCAACCTGACCTCCCCCGGCGAGCTCCAGCTGCAGCTGAAAGAACCGGCTGCAGCCGCGGCGCAGCGCTATCTCACGGTCGCTAATCGCCATGGGACGTCCGACAACGAGCTCGTATGCTCGCTAGGTGGAATGGACGCACTGATGCTGGAGGCTCGCTACCACATCAATGCGGGCAGCTTGCGAGTAGCATGGCTGATATTCCGTCGGCTATCCGCAGCGGCTCCAGGGTGTGAATCGTAAGACACAGGCCCTGTTCTTCCGACTGGTATATTGCGATCGCTTCTTGTCGCTCATCCCGGGTCTTCCTCTTGTCATGTCGGATAACAGCTTTGCCGATCAAGGGCTCATGGAGAAGCTCTCATCGTTCGACAGATTCTAGCGCATTCTTGTCGTCCTTGCCGGTCGGATCATCGATCGGCACATGCGTATACGGCCTCGCTCCTCCTCGGTCGTGCAAGGCGATAATGGCCGTTTTGATGATTAGAAAGAGACTGATGATATTGAATACGAGATGAGAAAAGCGATCAGGTGTTTACCCATCTCATGGTGGGATGCGCCCGTGCTGGGGAACTAGGTGACCGAGCAGGAGAAAATGGGCGGCATTGCTCAGATAATCACCCAAATGCACCATCACTATCTTCTCATTCCTTCTATATCAACCTTATTTTGTTCGGCATCTGGGACGTTTGAAAGAAATTGAAAACGTCATATCAGTGCTTTCCACAGGAGACCATGGATACAAGAAGCTCGCTTTTCTCTCCGCCAGCCGCGAAGTGCTCACCCGAGACCTGGCCTTCCGAGATGTGCACCCGTTAATGTCCTATCATGGAGTGGATAACAAAGCCTTCGTTGCAGCAACTGCTCGCCTGATTATTCATACTGACGGACACAATCAGGGTCGCGCGAATGCACTGGAGCACCAGAGACCCTTGGACCTGAGAACCGTCGATAATGTTATTGATATATTGGAGTAGCTCTGCATACAGAACCGCTTGAAAAGCCCGACGATTGACACAGTTCGCAAGCTGAGAACGATTGAGGAAGAGGCTTCAAACGGGGTGAGACTTTGTGTTGTGTAGGAGAACGAGATCACCCAGCCTGTCGACTGTAGCCTGAAGTTAGAAATACCTTATTTTGGGTCTTTCTGCGTCTTGCGTCGGCCAGCTAGAGTCACTGATAAAGACCCGTTCATGACTGTAGCAGAGCCGCCTACTGCGTTGATATGAATGATATGAGTCGCATTATCTGCTCAACAGGAATGCACTGTTAGCAGCAGCGGGTCAGGCATACTCGGAAATGAACTTCTTTAGAAACAATTAATTGTACGCTACCAGGATATCATTCCAAACAGCGATTTGGATGGCACTGGACCAAAGCTTATTTCGCATGGTTAATCAAATGGGTCACTCTCTATACTGCGTTGGCACAGACGGCGGTTTCCAACGGCGGGGTGTCAGCGAAATCATATTTCGTCAAAGCCTAAAACCGTGAAACGTTCCTCCTCCTCTGAAACGCGGACAAAGACGCTCCTCAGGTTCTCTTCTAAGTGTTCGATCTTTGTGATTCCCGGGATAGCGAATATATCGTCCCCTGTGCAAGGATTTAGGCCAGCGCGAGTTGCGCCGTAGTGACACCTTTTTTGTTTGGCGATGGCGAAAATCGTATCCACAACAGCCAGGTCTTAGCAAGGTTCTTCTCATGAAGCCCCGGTAAGACTCTCCGTGAATTGCCAGGGCGACTGATGTCCTAGTGGGATCGTATCTTTCCACCTAGCACCCCATTCCCGAGTGGACTGTACGCCACAACTCCCACGCCCAACTCCTGTGCGGTCTCAAGAAGTCGAACCTGGGGTGATTCAATGGCCAAATAGAACAGAATGTACTCCACTTGCACACATGTGACGGGGTGTACCGCATGCGCACGACGCAACGACTCGGCACTGCACTCGCTCAGACCGATAAGCTTGATCTTGCCCTCTTGCTTCAGTTGCACCATGGCTTCCATGGTCTTCTCAATTGGTGTGACCTTATCCAAGCGATGAACATAGTAAAAGTTCACATACGGCAAATCAAGACGCTTCAGCGATCGTTCCAGTGCCTCACGGCAGCATTCCGGCGTCGAATCTATCTTGTATCCGCGCGGCGATTCTGATGAGGGACCAATCCCGAACTTCGTGGCCAAAAAGAAGTCCTTGCGCTTTTCGGGGTTTGCAGCGAACCATCTTCCGAGGACATCCTCAGACGCACCGTATATGTCCGCTGAGGTGTCATCGGTCTGTAGGCGCGGGAGCAGTGGCCTGTGTCTGCCTAGTGCACGAGTCGGAAATTTACCCAGAGTCGCCTCTCGGTATGTGACGGGGAACGCGTAATTGTGAAAAGATTATTCGAAGACCAGGGCCTTAAAGCTCTTCTAGAAGGCCAGGCAACATTTTGTATAGTAGTTGCAGCCGGTGATTGCGGCGGATATGAATCTCTGCACCCTCTCCCTTATCGGAATCCCCGTCGATCCGTTAAATGCCTTCATCTCCGCCGCGAACTCCACCGCCATCTCCGTGGCTCAATAGCGCGAAGACTCAATGATAATTGGTGTAGAAGACAGGATTATGTCACGCTGCGCCAGAACTCAATGCGATCGCAAACTGCGACCGAAGTGACCACAAGACTGAAGCTTGCCTGGTCGGCGATGTTCATATAGTACCCCGCGAGAAAGCGGGACGTGCAGGAATGAGCTACTATATCATGGCCACAGACACACTGTCCCGGTGTAATCTCAGAAATGCCGAAGTTACTCAATGACAATGACTCGGGGTCGCCCATTTGTAGGGGTAACCACAGCAGTAACGAACACGCCCATATTCGGAAGTGGTGAGGTCATCCCGGGAGGACAGAGTTTTGGTACAACCACGCTTTATAAAGACGGACGCCAGGAGAGTCGCCCATCTAAGCTGCCACAATTCATCGCCTGTCCCATTAATCGCAGAAATGGTCCATCTTTCGTCGGTCGCCAAAGAGTCTCACGGGCACCGCCACCGGCGGGAGGAGCGCGAAGCTCAGGCATCCGAGACGTCGCCCTATATCTATGGAACTCACTATGCGGTCGAGGAGCTGCCCGAGCATGTGATGTCGGAGCATGAGATGCCGGCAAGTGTTGCTTATCGGATGATCAAGGATGAGTTGAGTCTCGATGGGAACCCGCTGCTCAAGTAAGTTGCCTCTCTTGCGTATCGCGTGACAGTAATGATAACATTCTACAGCCTGGCAAGCTTTGTCACAACCTACATGGTCGGTCCTTGTGCCTAGAATGCCAGAATCAGCACTGACGCACGATCCAGGAAGACGAAGTGCAAACCCTCATGTCGGACGCGATGAGCAAGAACTTCATCGACTACGAGCAGTACCCGCAAACGGCACACATCCAGAACCGCTGTGTCAACATGATAGCTGGTATCCTCCATGCACCCACGACAGGAGAAGAGGGGTCCGAACAAGACGCCATTGGCACCTCGACGGTCGGGTCCTCGGAAGCGATCATGCTCGCCATGCTGGCGATGAAGAAGCGATGGCAGAACAAACGGAAGGCCGCGGGAAAGGACTGGTCGCGTCCGAATATTATCATGAACAGCGCGGTGCAGGTATGCTGGGAAAAGGCCGCCCGCTATTTCGAAGTCGAGGAGAAGTATGTCTACTGCACCGAGACACGATACGTCATCGACCCCAAAGCTGCGGTCGAGATGGTGGATGAAAACACGGTCGGAATTTGCGCCATCCTGGGCACCACCTACACTGGACAGTACGAAGATGTCAAGGCCATCAATGACCTGCTTGTAGCCAAAAATATCGACTGCCCGATCCATGTGGATGCCGCCAGTGGCGGGTTTGTCGTTCCATTTGTGAAGCCCGAGTTGGAATGGGACTTTCGGTTGGAGAAAGTGGTCTCAATCAATGTCTCAGGACATAAATACGGACTGGTAGAGACCTCTACATATCTCTCAAACCTGGCCAATGACGCTGATGCTGACTGACACGGACAGGTTTATCCCGGTGTGGGGTGGGTCTTCTGGCGTGCCCCGGAGTATCTGCCCAAGGAGTTGATCTTTAACATCAACTACCTAGGCACCGATCAGGCCAGCTTTACCTTGAACTTCTCCAAGGGAGCCTCGCACGTCATTGGTCAATATTATCAATTGATTCGATTGGGGAAGCATGGCTATCGATCGATTATGACCAATTTGACCCAGATCGCCGACTACCTGGCCACTCAACTGGGAGAGCTCGGCTTTATTATCATGAGCGAAGGGAACGGTCGCGGCCTCCCACTGGTGGCGTACCGATTACCCGAGCAGGAGGGTCGTCTCTACGATGAATTTTCAGTCGCCCATGTGCTGCGGCGGCGGGGTTGGGTGATTCCGGCGTACACCATGGCACCCAATTGCAATGGATTGAAGATGATGCGGATTGTGCTGCGGGAAGACTTCAGTCTGCATCGCTGTAACTTGCTGGTTGAAGACATTCGCCAGGCGCTCAAGTCGCTCGAGGAGATGGATGAGACCATGATCCAACGATACAGCACGTACGTCAACTTCCAACGAAGTCTCTGTTTTCCGGTGATTGTGGTACTAATGAGAAGCAGGTATGTTCAGACGCATGCAACTCGCGGGCCTCAAGGGCACCCAGTCTACAAGCAAGAAAAACATTCACTCCAGGGTAAAACCGGAAAAACGCACGCTGTGTGTTGAGCGAGTGAGTGGATCATCATCGGGCTTTGTGCGCCAATTGAGTTTTGCGACCGGTGACAAGTCAAGTATACATAGCTCAGTCCGCCATAGGGACTTCGTATTTGCTAAAAAGCCAAAACACCTCAATTGTCAGAGTTCAAGTCATCGTTCAATGTACTGTGTCTTACACACTTTTGTCGGGCTGGATCGATTTGTGGCGAGTCAGAATAGCATACATAGCATGCAATGGGTGCATAGGTCGAATGCATCCCGCACCAACCCGAGCGGCGAACCCGTGCTCGCCGACGTCAATTCTGCACCTCTGCTGCAGTTGTTTCTCCTCTTACGGACGTTGCTATCATGCTGCACACTGTCACCTAGTCCAGTCAGAACTTCTGCCCACTATTATCGTTTCACGGTCAACGGCCATCTTTGCAGGTCGGGAGTCTCGGGACTCGGTTGTAGCGATAGGATTCTCGCGCGACTCCACCGTTCCCCACGGAAGCCGGTGAGCTGCTGGCGGATTCTTGGCCAACCTGTCCGATAAGTGAGTGACAATAGCTGCCAATAATTAGCTCCCCACATCGGGCCGGACAGATGTGAATCACGGTGGCGTAGGGCCGACCAATGCCCGGATGTAGGGTGAATCATGACTCTGAAAGCCCCATATTAGCCTATTGCGATGTCTTGGAGGAAGTGAGACCTTTTTCGTATTCCATAATAGCACTGAAACAAGACATATAGCAGTGTTCAACGGTGGGTGAGGGACGTGCTCCAGTGCGAAAACGGACCTGTCATGCATGATTACTCTGGTCAGGGTTTGGTATACGAACTCTTCCTCCTTTGGCCGCATTCATGGTGTCGTATGCAGCGGACACATCACATTCGAGTATCACTACCACCACAATAATACGCCTCCCCGACGCATTAGTTTGAAGTCTAACCTGCAATAATTGGGCCCACTAGTGATGATGGCCCTGTCAATCCGGGGTTATTGTGTTCATTCTCGCAAGAAAAAAAAAAAAACAGAGCGAGAACCGATGGGGTTTGCAGAGTCGTCCCCTGTCCATAACCACCGAGTGGGCACCATTGATGTCCGTCTCGACTGAGCCCACCACTAATGATTAGCAAGCGAGGGGAGCTCGCCACGGCAATTATCAGGCTTTCGAATGCTTGAGATCATGCTGACAGACCGCTTCGCCTCAGTCCAGCACGCAAGAAGCTTCGGCACGCCGGATCTCTTCCCTTTTCTCCCCGTTCGCCTGGTCTCTGACAGGTGGTGCTCAGGCTGTGCAACTCCGTGTGAACTCAATTCGGCTGCCTCCATCTGTTGACCTGTTGAGGAAATACCTTTATAGGCTAACCCCCCTGAATATCAAGATGGATGTGGTAGTAAGCAGGCAGGGCTCTGTGCCATATGAACTCCGCCATTCCCCACCCATCGGTTCCCTTCGCTAGGTTTCTCCCTGCTCTCTGGGATAGCGTATGAACAGTCGTGACAAGCACGTTGATTGTTCGAATCCTCACTGTGACTATGGCACTGATCTTGGCCCTGGTAATAGCACTGGCCTGCCATGCGCAGGCCAAGGCTGTCTTTGCACACTTCATGGTATGACCTCTCTCGGACTCAAGTCTCCTTCCTTCTCTTCCTGAAGCTCAGATCTAATGTGAAGAGCGGTACAGCTTGCAAACAGTCAAAATTTCACCCTCGACGACTGGAAAGAAGACATCACCCTAGCCCAAGCCGCGAAGATTGACGCTTTCGCACTCAACACCGGGTACGGCGGCCCCTATACCGGACAGCTTCTGAACGATGCCTTCGCGGTGGCGGCTGAGCTCGATTTCAAGCTCTTCCTCTCTCTCGACTACTCCGGTGACGGACGCTGGCCGCAGGACCAGGTCATCAAGTGGTTGGGCAACTACACCAAGCTCCCGGCATACTACAAGCACAACGGCGAGAAACCCCTGGTCTCGACATTCGAGGGCTACGAGGCACAGGGCGATTGGACCAACATTAAGAAGAAGGTCGACTGTTTCTTCATGCCGGACTGGTCGAGCATCCTGCCGGAACAGCTCGCGTCGTCGAACGTGACGGACGGGCTGATGAGTTGGAGCGCGTGGCCGGACGGCACGGCACCAATGAACACCTCGATGGACGAGCGCTACCAGTCGGCGCTGCGGTCGACCGGCGGCACCGACAAGCCTTACATCATGCCCGTGTCGCCCTGGTTCTACACCAACATGGTGCGCTACAACAAGAACTGGGTCTGGCAGGGCGACGACCTGTGGTACAAGCGCTGGGACCAGGTGGTCGACATCGAGCCCGAGTACGTGGAGATCTTGACCTGGAACGACTTCGGCGAGTCGCACTACATCGGCCCGATCCACGAGCACGACCTGGGCACGTTCACCTCGGGCGGCGCCCCCTACGACTACGCCATCGGCATGCCGCACGATGGCTGGCGCGCCTTCCTGCCCTACGTGATTGACCGGTACAAGACCGGCGCGGGGAGCGCCACCGTCGACCAGGAGGGCCTGGTGACGTGGTACCGGCTGACGCCGTCGTGGGCCTGCTCGGACGGCAAGACGACGGGCAACACGGCGACGCAAGCCCAGCACACGTACCCGCCGGGCGAGGTGCTGAAGGACGAGATCTTCTTCTCGGCGCTGCTCGACTCCGCCGCCAACTTGACCGTCAGCATCGGCGACGAGGAGGCCGAAATCATCGCCTGGTCCGACATGCCCGCCGGCGGGAACGGCGCCCCGGGCCTCTACTTCGGCAGCGTCCCGATGGACAACCGCATCGGCGAGGTCAACGTCACCCTCACGCGCGACGGGCAGGCCCTGGCGCAGGTGCTCGGCCAGCCCATCTCCACGCAATGCGGCTCCAACAACCTGACCAACTGGAACGCATGGGTCGGCAGCAACATGACCGACCCGTCGGCCAACGGGTCCAACTCCAAGGATTCCGGCGCCGCCGCCTGGTCCAGCAGATCGCCCTTGCAGCAGCCCGCCGTGCTGATATCCGGGTTAATCGTCTGGTTGGGGCTGTGGTTGGTGATATAATGACTTCTGCAATAACGCGTGTATATGATCGTCATGCCTTGGGGAAGAATAAATTGGTACATAAAACGAAGATGGTCGGCGATGGAGGGGGAGATAGATCTTGGATGCCGAAACTGTATCTATGTATGACCTTGACTTGTTTCGTGTTGCTTGTCTCTTTAATATCTAATTTTTCAGTCCTCAACAGCTTGTCTGATATTTTGCGCGGGTTTCTCTGGTGGCCTTGGTTTACCAGTGAGGGCGCTGGTGTCGGCTTCCTCACTTCGTAGTGATTGGCTGTTGATTGCAGCTCGCGGTCGACGACTTATGTAGACTTTCAGATGTCGTCGGTTTGGCCCGACAACTTTAGGGGCTGGATTGCTGCTTCTGCACGCTCAAAAGGGAAGGACCCTGGATCGCTATCCATGGTTCAGACTGGGAAGGTAGGCTCCAGTTGGCACTTGCGGAAATCCACTGCCCGTCTATCAACGCCGTTCAACCGTGGCTTTGTCATGGGGCCTTCGGCGTCGCCGACAGGGACGTGCACGTTGGCAGACACTGCAGCTCGTTCTTTGACTTCTTTTGGATGTTGGTATTTGTGATAGCGGCTGTTCTGGGGATCTGACGGGCTGGGTCGGCTGTTGAAAGGTCTTTGTCCAATGAGGGCGATAGCGCAAAAGCTAGATCGCGCTTGCTTGCTCGGTACATGATTGCGCCTGCGCTGTCTTTCTGTCAGCGATCTGGATGTATGAATATCGAGGTAGTGAGTGATGGGCGTGATGCTCTTGATGTTGTGGGGAGATTTGCACTTGCACTACCTACGCCGAGTATGAGCGAGCAGACCCTGCTGCTCCACAGATAGGAGATGCCGCTCGAAGCAGACCTGCACGCGCCAGAGGTAAGAACAAGCACCCTGAGTCAGGCTTATCCCTCAATATTGACGGAGTGGATGCAAAAGGAGTGGTTTTGTCAGACGTCTTGGCGCACCTCGTCGAGGTTATCCGCATTGGGATAGGGTTACATTCTGCAGGTGACAAAGACTTCAGCCTCAGGTTCTTCTTAAGCGACCCCGTGAATAGCCTCACCAGCCCGGAGTCTAGCCCACCATAGGCCTTCACTGATAAGGATTATATCGTACGATTACACGAGAGAACCCAACGTACATCTCCGTGAGCCCCATCCGTTCCCCAGACCCACCCCCGGCGGCGATGTGCACTGGCGTATCCTGACCATTCGATAGGCGGGGGACTGCAAGTCTATGACGCAGACGACAAACCTTGGACGAGGTCGCCACCTCAACAATGAAACGCTGGCCACCCAGCCTCGTCGGCGCAGATCAGCACTGACCACCTGCTGACAGGCTAGCCGCGGTTGAGTCTAATCATGAAGTGTTTCTGCACACGGCCGAGGATTGACGACCGGGTCCGATAGCCATCGCTACTGAAGCCTGGACCGGCGGCGTCGGCCGATATCTGTCGAGCAGTGCGGATAGGATGCTCGAGCCAGGCCGACCCAGTGGTCCGGTTGGAGTATCCAGCCAAAGCTCTTGTCACGGATATCCCCCCTTTGTTCGGCCCTGCAGGGTCCGGGGAGAGGGTATAAAGCATCCCCTGGCACCCCCTGGGTCCCTGATTCAGGGCAACACAATTTCCACACGGCTCACGCATGTTAATACGATAATCACGGTACTCGTCTAGACGCTTTCCTGTTCACCACGGCCTGGCGCTGCTTGTCTTTTCCTTTGGCTGAAGTACTTGCCGGTTTATACTATACCACTCCACGAGACCTCATCTATCTACGAGACTGCCACTACATACACTATACCAACACCATACCAAGAGCTTCAACTACAGACCTACATCCACAACATCAAAATGACCTCAACGGAAGCACCTCATCTCCTCCGCTACGCCTCCCGCCTCACTTCCTCCACAACAACCATCAACCCCCGTCTACCCCCAATCGCCCGCCACACAACCAGCACCACCACATCCTCAGCCTCCACATCCACCATAATCCCCACACACATCGTCCTCCTCTCGCGCAACAAGCTGCAGCGCGAGACAGCAACCAAGAGCCCGGACCTCCGCCGCTGCCTCGCCCACCAGCGACTCCTCCACCGCTCCATCCAAGCCGCGCAACAAGCCGTGCGCGCACAGCTGGCAGCCGCTACCCTGGAAGACGAAGACGCCATCGACGAGGAAGAGGAGTACGAAGATCAGTACTCCACCCCAAGCAGCTCCCCCTCCGAAACAGCCCCGGTCACGGTCATCCGCGAGCAGATCACCGGCGCCGTCAAGGCCATGGTCCGGCGGCGGGCTGCTTCCGCCTCCGCTTCTACCTCTCCCTACTCCAGAGAACTAGGATCCAGTGCAGAGGGAATGAAGCGTGGATCTTCGCAACAAAATCTACCCCTGCTAGGCGCTACGAACGGTAGCGAGGGGGTGAGCGCTGTGCCCGGGGATAACCACGGATTCAGTGGAAGTGGGACTGGAGAGAGCGCGCGGGTAGTCGTGCTGCGCAAGACGAAGCGGTATACCTCACGGATTGTGTTTGGGCGCAGGCGGTGGCCGCTTTATGGGCTTGGGCATGGGCATGGGCCGCCTGCTTTGGTTAGCTGACACGCGTTGAGGGGATGTCTCTTTGTATCGTATTATATGGAGACGAGACGACCACTGGATCTTGTCGCGGGTTTGGGTCGGGTGGCTGGTGTGATATCTATTTTTCTTTTCTTCAGTATTATCTGTGTGGATTGGGTGGCAGTATAATATCTATTTTCATCATTGTGATAAGAAAGTGTTGTGTATTTCTGACTGTTTGGCGGTTTCGCCACCGGAAGCTATTGTACTGTACCTATGTGATAAACCTCGATGGGTCATTGACTTGATTGGCCAATGTATGTGAATTATGCACATCAGTCACTTCCTTAGTATGGTTGTCCAATCAAAAAGCGTAGTGTACCGAGGTGCCATCTAACCTGTCATGTATGATTGTCTTTTAGCTGTCCACGGTTCAAGGCTATGTAGACAGCCATATTATCCTGACAAATACAGCCGGATAAGTCGGACCATCCCTTCGCTGGCTTTCAGCGTCTTTGTGCCGTGTTTTTAGAAAGTCAAAAGCTATAGGTACAACGCCCCACTACCTCACTTCCCAACATCCAACTTCTCAATCCCCTTAGCCGCCTTCTCCTTCCAGTCCGCCCGCCACCGCGACAACGCCGGGCGATCATGAATAACATCTCCACTCGCCCATGCAATCCGCTTCCGATCCATCTCCTCAGTGACCTCGTTATCCGGACAAATGATATAAAAGCTGCCCGCAGCCATCTTCTTTGCCATAAACGCGACGGTCTCCTCAGGCGTCCAGCACCCAGCTGGTTTCGTCGAGAAATATCTCGTCATCATGCCCGTGTACACCCAGCCGGGCACCAACAGATGCACACTGACATTCGGATATGGACATGTAGATCGTAAGACAGGTGCTCGGCGATCGTCTTGACCGCGCTCTTCGAGGCATTATAGGCCGGATTGCCGGGCGGGTTAGTGATGCCCTGTTTCGAGCCGGTGAGGACGACGGCGCGGGGCGTGTCGCTCCTGCTGGAATCCGTGACGCTCTCGAGGAACGCGGCCAGCCCGTTCGTGTACCCAAACGTGTTGGTCGCGAATGTGCTCTCGAAATACTCCGGGTCCTCCCAGGGTGTCTTCCCTTCGGTCGGTCGCGCCAGTCGGCCTGCGTTGAGCATCAGCAGGTCGATTCCCTGCGGGCATAGCGTCAGGATGGCTGGCTTGTGTCGTGTCCAGTCTTCGCGTTTGGAGACGTCGAGGACGAAAGTATGGATTTTTGGGGTTGTCGCATTATCGGTTAGTGTTTTGGCCGCAGTAGTGAGTTGCGCTGAGTCGATGTCTAGGAGGATTAGGTTCATGCCGTGCTGGTGGCATAGTTGCGCGGCAGCGAAGCCGATGCCAGAGGCGGCGCCTGTGATGAGCGCTGTGGCTCCGGAGCGGAACCGGAGGGATTGGTGGCCATGATGATTGAGCCTGTGATGTGATGTTTTGGAGAGTCTGTCAGGGAGGGAGGGGGTGATTATAATCTGTTGTAAACAACTAGACGATCTACGAGTAACTACTCATATGGGTTGTAGGGTTGCGGGGTCGCTGACAGCTTGGCATGGCGTTGTCCGGTGATAAGCGAGCTATCTCCGGATTACGCTTGCATAGCATACTCCGTGCAGCATAGCACAGTACAGCACAGCACAGCATAGCGTCAGCTGCATAGCTTGTGACCATTCTTGCACTTTCTTCCGCCTTCTCCTTTGGGCTATTATGCCTGCCTCAGGTGCACGGACTCCCGCACCCCATCAACTTTTTTGCGCACTCTATGTCTACCAGTACGCAGTGAACGATGCATGCTGCATCGACCGGGCTTTCATCCACATCTTCGTCTAGTGATGAATCGCCCATCAACCGACCACCTCAGTCCCGGTGTAGATAATTGAATACGATAGAATATTAACAACCTGTTGGAGAATGCTTTACTGCAGAATCGGACCATGTATAAGCACTAAAGGACATCATATCCAAAGCGTGATGGTTCCAACTTGGTACTGTTGCTCCCCGTCACGAGTCATAGCCATTATGGCCACGTTGAGCAGGAGCGAGATGGCAATACCGAATGAGGAAGTCACGCGGCGGAGCCTGGAGTATAAATCACCCCTCGCCCCGGGATCTTGCTCAGGCTAATTCCACTTTTCCACTTTCTTCTTTCTCTCGGTCGGAATACCAGCCATGCGCGTACGCCAAACGCACCCTTCACCTTTCACACATACTCCCCGACACCTCACCATCTTACCAGTGGTGGTTGTGGAAACGTGCATGGACCATCGATCAACTATCTCCGACCGTGTAGACCTCTCTGGCGAGAGAGTGGCGGACCCAGAAACAGCATTGTTGCATCAGTTGCTTAAACCCCGCGCAAGATAGCATGGCCTTGTGTTGTCTCTGAGCAGCGTTGCGGCTACGTAAGGAATACGCGTGTACCTGGTGTCTAAATCATCTAATTGTCATGCGAAGTCCAGTGTGAGTGTGATGTGAGTCAATACAGCAATGGATTTCATCTAATATGTACAAATAGATGCTGAGGTACAGTACATATTGGCCCCATACACCCCAGTTGACCAGGATCAGAAATGTGGAAGGCGCAAGCGCAAGTGTAGATGGCAGCACTGCATCGCCTCCTGCTCACCAATTGCGGATGGGTTAATGCAAAGGCCGTGCTGGGACGATCCAGCTCCCTTCCAGAAGATACTGTATGACCGATCGAGCGCCGGCTCGATCACACCGTGTGCACCAATCCGTCAAGCGACTTGGCCAACTCGATCGAGCGCTCCAATATCCCTTTCTCCTCAGCCGTCAAGTCCCGAATGACCCCGTTAACCATGCAACTCTGATCCTGCTTCCTATCCCCCTTAATCCAGTCCGCATCGATCATCCACTTCTCAGGCACTTGATACTCATTCTCCATCCCGGGCTGGCCCTTATTCTTCAACAAACTCCCATTATACCACAGCAAGCGATTTTTCGCATCGACATGGGCGATCACAAAGCTGCACACCCCATCCGCGGACCCCTGCTCATCCACCCGCTCCCACCCGACAATGCCGCCATAATGCGGAGAGAACTCATACTCAGCGCCAGCCAACTCCAGCCCAAACCACCAGCTCTCCTTGTCGCCGTAGGTAATCTTGTATGTGGTCTCCTCGCGCACCTCGTACGAGTTCTGCCAGCAGATATGCAGCAGGCCGAGCAGGGTGTCAATGCGGCCTTTATTGAGGACGACGAGCCCGGAGTCGCCTTCCTCCGCGTACTCCTCGGTCCACACGCGCGAGTCAGCCATGGCGGCACTCGGCCGCCGGAGTTGATCGTGCCACCACTGGTGCCGGCCCTCGAACGCATGCGGCCACAACAGCCGGTCGTGAAACAGCAGCGCCCCGTGCCGAACGACTGCCTCATGCTCCAGCAGCACCTCCGGCCGCTGCAGGAATACTGCGTCCGCGTCCGCCAGAATCACCGTCTCGAACCGCGACGCCAGCGCCGCGAACGCCTTAATAGCCCACCCGCCCGTGCGGAGTTGCAGCGTCGCGTCGTCGAAAACGGTGAGGATGTCGAGGAAGTCGATGGCGGCGGGCGTCGAGGTCAATGCGGACCGCCCCGCTACGCTGGCCAGGAGGTCGCGATTCGCGGGCGCCAGATCGCTGTCGCCAGCGTAGACGACCTGGATCGGGAGCGTGGAGTTGAGCACGCCCCGCAGCGCCCCGATCAGGTGCGCCGCGTACCGCACCGTCTTGTCGCTTGTGGGAATGACGATCCCCGCTGTCTTGGGTTCAAAACGCGCGCACAGGCTAGCAATCGGGTGCGTGCTGGAGGATGGATGGTTGGGATGCGTGAGGAAGGGGAATTGCGTCAGGGCTACTTTTTCGACGGCGTCGAGGTAGAGGGCTTTCGTCGCGGGATTGCTCGAGGCTTGCGCCAGGCTCAGCCAGTCTCTCAGGATGCGCATGCGGCGGCCCAGCTCGCCGTATTTCTCCTTGAACGGTTTCTGGATGGGGTGGTCGGTGAAGTATTGCGTGAGATCTGTGATTAGGGCGGTTTCGGCGGCGGTAGGCTCGACTGCGGTGATCTCTATCGAGGGGACTGTGGTTGACTTTAGGTCTTGGGATTGTCCGATGTCCAACGAGCTGGTGGAAGTCTGGGACCCTGGCGGGAAAAACAGCAGGACTGATAGGATGCATGTCGTTGCAATGGCGGCGATGACAATGCGGAAGTTCCGAGGATTGAACAGAGTCGTCAGAAGACTCATCTTCTGCGACAGCAGCTTGGATTCTGCCCAAGCCAGCATGTTGTCGACGATAGAGATGGGTGATGCATGGGCGGGCGCGTGTCAGCAGTACTGCTCTTCTTTCTTCTCACCCACAACCCGGATTGTCTCTGCCTGGGAAGATGGCGTTGCCCCTCAGGCCTTTTAGGGCTGGCGTCGATCCATTGCATCGTCAATGGGGAAAATGGGACATGGGGTCTACTTATTCCTCGAAGGGAATCCCGTGCAAGCCAATAAGGGGCAACTACTCAATCTCTGCAGTCGACTTCCACTAAAGTAGGGTTGATTGTTGAGGCTTTTGCAACGGATCGTGATTTGCGGTGGGTCGAAGAAATCTCAGTTGCTTGACGGTGATAGGAGCAACCGGCTCTGGTCAGCCCTAGAACACGATAGCGCACGGAAGGTCTGGGTGTCTTAAATCTCGTATTCCACCTCCTCGGCATCTTAAAATGGAAATTAAGTGTCATGAATTCGCATTAGGCTTCGCTGTCTTAGCTCCTGAGCGGCTAAGCTCCAGGTCGCGTGCCTCTAATTCAGGGGTTGCTTAGTTGCGGCTTGTCAATTCAGGTACAACCACTTTTTAAACAAAAGTTCAGTGACAGTAATCGCGTTCAACTATCGTTAGATTGACCAATAGCGCAGCCAGACCACGCATTGACAGCAAACGCAGGTTGAGATTCACTCAAACTGGACTCACTCACAGTCTCGACCATTTGCCATTGCAGGCCAGAATGGCGAGGCGTGGGGCGCCGCAGCAATCGGGCCAATCGATCCGAGCCAATAATCTGCAGCTCAAACTCGGACACGAGAGTCGCCCGACCACTTGCAGTTTCGGTTATCGCTTATCGCCCGAGCTGCATATTCAATATGAGAATCGAGCCCGACGGATGCCGTGTCTCGCGACAGTCACGGCGCTCCGTCGGATCTTCCAGTAGAAACGCGGACAACGTCCAGCCAAGCTTGCACTGTCTCACTTCAGGTTGTGTTTGACTTTATGTCAGTGGACTGAGACTGAGAGTCGAGAATCGACATTTGCACTTGACATGAATAGTGGACCGACCGGCGCTCTCCCGGTCTTCCCCACTAACTCATCGCTGCGCCCGCAATATGACAATCTCTGTCTTACCTGCCATCCAGATTGATATCCTTCTGTGCTCTCTTCTGTAGTGAGTGGTTGTTGTTCTCATTTTGCTCTGTTCTCATTCTTGGATAGCCATCTTCCATGAGCACTCCTGAGTAGTCATCCTTAATTAACCGGGTCGAAGGCCTATCACCGTCGTACTCTTTTGCTGCTTTCGCGACTCTAATCATTCGGCCATTCTAGAAGCCTTGGCAATCGCTCTCCACATGGAAATCTCAAGCATGAACAACATCGAATCAGCGAATTGGGTATATCCTAGCTCGTCATACATAGCGGTATGTGTAGTCAGCCGCATAATCGTATGATTCTGTAGGACAGTCAGGTATGAATTGCGATACCTTAATTCAGAGATCAGACTGCCGAGTCGATGGGAGTCAGGATAGCGAGATCCGTCAATCTTATTCTTGCGGCTCGTTTCATCTCACTGTCAATAGGATATATGCAAACTGATCTCAATGGGACTCGTTTCCTAGCAGCATTTCTACCTAGCTTCAAAATCACTAGCATAATGCTCTTCTGGTTCTCGAAAGGCCGATGTATGACAGAAGAAGCAACCCTCACTGCTTGACGCAAGGTGACTAAATCAGAACGGTCATGCGGAAAGCTCAAGGATCTCTTACAGCGTAGTCCAGGGCATAAAACCAGAGCCTTCCCCAGCTATACCCCAGCAGTGTTCGACTCTGCCTCAAGAAAGATCACTTTTATCTCAAGCGTCACTTCCAACGAAAACCAACCAAACCTAAACAAAATGAGACTCTCTGCCCTTCTTCTCCCCTCACTCATCACCTGCATCCTCGCCAACCCCCTGCAGATCCAGATCCTCGAGGATGACGAGCCCTCTCTCCTGACCAACGAGAAACATCAATGCGGAGGCCTGGGGTCCCTGTACCAGGTCAAGAACCACCAGCCGATTTGGCTGTGCAACTGTCCTCACAACACCAAGTGCGAGCCGCGGGTCTTCCATGGCGGGGCAAGTTATTGGTATTGCAGTGTTATCTAGTGAGTGCGTAGCTGTGCGGTTTGTTGTTGGAACGCGTTGTTTGAGCTGACTTAAGCAGGGGAAAGTGTAGGAATGTTCTGGATGAATACTTAAACCTGAGATCTCTTTGAGTAGATCAGTGTCAATTTGCTTCGTGGCGGCGTCTTGCATTATGACAATTGAGCCTCCTGTCTCCTGACTAATCTGGGCCTCTTAGCTTAGTATAATGAGTTGTAGCATAACATGACTGCTTCTGTGCCTTCTCAACGATATTATTCTCAAGCTGCGCATGATCAGTCCGAATCTCAACTGCTACAAGGATATTCTGCGGCCACAGAAGAAATCAACCAAAGACCGGGTGCACGTGTATGCGCTCGAGAAGCTCCTATACGATCTAAGCAAAGATAAAGTTTGACTAGTCGGAGATCATGTTCTACCTGACAACACCCGCAAGCATGCCTGTTTTGGTGCTATGTGCGGATACTAGCTTTGCATGCTTCTACTGTGTCACACGGTTATTGATGGACCTGCAGGCTTTCATTAAGGCTGGTGGTAAGTAACAAATGCCAATGGCCAATTTGAGTCAGATAGGGAAAGCAGCTCGTTCTTCCAACAGCACGGGACTTCACATGCTTGCACAAAGATGCCTGGAGGCTTTTATGATCAATTTTGGAAACCCAGTAGTCATGTGGCATTGCTTAACTTATGCACCGCTAAACTGCAACCACTTTCTGTCCAGTACAGCTTGTATTGAAAATAGCCCAATGGTCAATTCGCGCTAAGCGATTGCCAGTGGGGCCGAAAGCAAATAATGATTTGTTTGAGGGCTAAACCAATTTCGAGACGCGCGGTATATCAGATGAAAGGAGGTCCAGAAGGATAAATGTAGTAATATCGACAATGTGGGTTATCTTCCTAACTCCCAAGATAAGACACGAAGAGGAACATAACTAGTCAAATTGTAGAGGAGCGTCCTGATCATGATTATCACGGTCTTATAACGACATTCTTGGAAAGGATGAGATGATCTCCTCATTGATAGTAGGCGGGGGAGCTTTGAGGTTCCGCACCGATAACTACTGGCGAGATATTATACAATGGCTCCCGCAATTGTACAACCGATAAGAGAACGCAGACAGGATAATACAATGATGCTCAACTTGGACACCGTGCGTGAAATGAGCGGCACATGACAGTCCTCAAATACTACAGTCCTTCATGCCCACCAGAGTCCCGTAAGCATGTCCGGCTGGCTGGATTATCATCCTCGTCGTGCTCAGTCTGGCAGTCCGGCGCGACGGTTGACGCTATGACCGGTACGGATTATCATTATTCCCTAGCTGTCTGTGTCACGGCTGTGCTGCGTTAGATCTGTTGGCCAGCAGCGCATGTTTCCATGTACATAAACCTCTTCTCATGCCTAGGGCTTTAATCGCAGAGCGCAGATAGTCAGAGGAAGAGGTTACTGTACGGGGCAGGAATCAAATCACATTGATAAACTGTGGGGCGAGGCGAAAAGTAATCGTGCAACAAGCAACTTCACGGCTCCCGAGATCTCCACCATAATCGGGTAACACACGAGGCTTCAGCCTTGTCGACGGGTCGGGGGAGTCCTTCCCCGGAGCTACATCGAATTTGCGTTTGATGGCCTCTGGTTGGTCCAAATTCTCAGCAGCGCAACACTGTCTGTCTGGCTGTCTGGCCCAATGGCGGAGTGGGGCGTGGTCGCTCAGATCTTGTGTTGCCTCAAGCGGCAATTCAATTCTAGATTCCGGGAGGCCAGTCCTTCGATCAACCCCGCCCGGCTTTATTTGTAACATGACATTGCATGCAGGAAGAAGAACTAGCGTTGCTGACCATCGAATAAGCGAATTGATGAGGCGAGCAGTGTCGTCTCTAATCATAAATACGTGGCACCTCTCCTGGACCAAAATTACGCACCATCCCCCCGTGAGTCGCCCACTCATAAAAGGACATATGCCAGAGGCCAATATGATTGGACCTCCACCGCGAGTCATTTGGTTCACGTTTACAGCCGACACTGTTCGTAGCTCATAGCATACCCCTCTCCACGTACGACACGTCGTGAGGAGGCGGCCAAGAGCGGTCACTTGCATTCATGCATATGCATAAGTGCTGTGCCGCAGAGGAGATGAGCGCCGTGGTGCAGTATGCAGCATTGAAAAGGCTTGTAGCCTTGATTGGATGAGGTGAAAGACGGGCAATTGTGACATCATGGAGCCTCATAATGAGATTCCTAGTGGATAACTAGATAAATTTGAGGGTTTGTTTCCGCTCGAAGTGTTTTGAGAACCACCGCTCATACTCTCTAGTTTTCTTCACCATCGATCAATTGTCTGAATAGCCTTCTAGTGTCCTCGCTCACCTCGCCCGCCCGTCATGCCAGCCATATCAGTCATGCCCAATGGGGACAAGCCTCCCCCTTCGCCCCAAAGCCAGAGACCAGCGTCCCAGCAGCCATCCGGTAGCCAAGCATTGGCAGATCTCCTAAAGCTACTGAGCTCGATCCCATCCAGTTCCGATTATCAGGTTGCAGAAGAAATCTTCAACGAGATGGCTGGTCTTCGAGTGCGACTACAAACCAAGGAGAAGGAACTGGAACAAGTCAGAATAGAAAAGACTATTGCTGTAAAAGAGATGTTCCAGGTGAATGAGGAACAGAGTTCAAAGCAAAAGGAGACTGCATCAGAGATAGAGTCTCTCAGCAGATCAGTTCAGGAGGGAAAGGACACTATTTCTCAGAAGGAACGAGAAATCCGCGACTCTGAGGATCGATACAAAAAGGTTCAGGTAGACTACACCAAAGCGCAGTCAACCTTGAACACAGCCCAACGCGATATTGACAGCCTACAACACAAGTTGAAAGAAAAAGATGTCCTTATTGACAAAATAAAGAGCTCCCACTCTGATAACCTGCAACGCTTGAAGGCGGCAGAGGGAGAGGCTAAAGAGATAAGAAAGGAGAAGTCTGTTTTGACTGAGTCATTGCAAACAACAAATGCCTCGCTAGACAAGATCAAGGGATATGCAGCTCCACATTCCGGCTGTGATGAAGATTCCATGTGAGTTAAATCTCGTCAAACAAGAGCGCTCTATGTACTAATCTTGCATAGGGTAGATGCCTTTATTGAATTGTGGCAATACGCCACCACCGAGATCAATCTGCACTTGAATAAAGACCTCTCTGAGGCGGTTTTGCAGGTACGTACTCCCAATACAGAAGGCTGTTTTCTTTCCCCATGCTCACACTCCCCGTCGTCACTAGAATCATTCAATCTGGGACGGATTCAAACGGAAGAGCAACCTTGCTGCTGAGCACCATGTCCCACTTCCCCAATCCAACTCGCCGGCAGCGAAGCAAATGCGGCTGGCTGTATTCCTAGCTATTCTGGCAAGGGAGGTCGATAGACAAATTTTCCAGCCCACCTACATCGTTCCCGAAGACGCGGGAGTTCGAGACACTCTCGCCAGACTCGCAGCTTGCGACAACGAGAAAGAATCATTCTGCCGGTCTATTCTTCTTTCAATTGACCCAGACAGAGAGAAAACCATACTTCAGTCAAGGATCCAAGCGGTCGTTAGGCATGTTTCTTCGTATCTATATGATATGCTCCCTGAAGACCAGTTTCCCAAACTCCGCGCAAGTATCGGGAAAATAGCCGAAAGGGCTGCTGATGTCTGGCATCCCTTCCAGCGGTCCCTGGAAAGATATGAACCGGACTTTGAGCCTCTCAAGTGGGGAGACGACAAATGGAGTCCACTACATCTTCCAGAGGGAAGCTCCGCAGAAAGTGAAACCAGCCCGAACCCGTTGGATGACTGTCTCATTACTGTGTTCCCGCGCATTACAGTGGTGGAGAGAGCTAATCGTTTCCCGCTCACTTACGTTGTGCAATTGAGAAAATCGCACCCGCAGTGTTTGGCAGCAGGAAGAGAGCTGGCCAATGTACCCACCAGCCCCATTCTTGGTCGGGTTGCATCAAATCGATCTCGGAGGAGGTCAAATGCTCCCAGCGATGCTGGCCATGCAAATGGCACCCTGCCAATGAAGACAAGGCTCCAAGCTCCTTGATTAGGCGGGTAAAGGATTTTGCTAGGATTGTAACTGCGCTTCTGTAATAGTCCAGCCACATATGCTTATATTTGAGGTTTCCTGGGATAAATTGACACCGGTTGATAGCTGTTCTAGATATTGTATGAGACCTTTATTTTCAGTAGCACGTGAGAGACTGAACAAGCATCGGTATAGAAAGTCTTGAGGCTGTGGGCTCCTATCGTGGCTTCGCATATTTCGAGGTGCGATTAGTTCAAATATTCGCACTAATGCATGTATGAACAGCTCCAGGCTGCGAGGTTGGCAGGCGCTTTATGTAACTCAAAGCTGCTGTCGTAGATACACAGAGTACCTTATCACTGAGATGTACACATGAGAGTACGCCTCCATGGTTTGTTTACGACTGAGCTGCTCTGCACATCTCAACATTCATCTTTTCAAAGAAGATAATCGGGTTAGTCCCCTGAAGCAAGGTCACAGCCGTTGCGTACTCATTACGGCACGAAAAGAACCTCTTATGTTTGTTGAGTCCGTAAATTGCGTCAAAGTCTCGACACACTCTTCCTCCAGCCCAGGAAACCAAATCGGAGACATCAGACTGAGCTTAGAATGATAGATGTTCGCGTACATCTTGGCAAATTCTTCAGATGGCATATCAGGAAAATTGCCAACGGGCTCTTCACTTGATATCCCGGCATATTTTAGCGGGAAATTGAAGTCATATCAGCGACAATGTCAGGGCCGTCGTATGCTCACTGAAATAGGGGTAGGAACAGTGAGCGGCTGGATTAATCTGGAATAGTATGGACCTGTGAGGTGCTGCACCGCCTTTTAGCTGCGCCCTAATCCCTCCATAGCACTTACGCCACCCACAGCGTTCCACAAGACCACAAATAGTATGGGTGCGAAAACTCGCGCATTTCTAAATACAAGTCGTCTAGGATATGATAAGCAGCTGGGAAAGACTACCAGTAATCGCAAAGTCTGCTATTTGTAGTTGACAGGCAGTTCTCTCAACAAAACCCTGGGACTGTCCCAAAGGAGTATGAATGCGGGGTCATACCAGCCGGGGCACTCAAATTAAGGCGTTTTGCTGCCTGAGCAAGTTTGATATCAGACATGAACGCGAAATGTCCTTTCCAGTTGTGAACCAGGCTCTGCAAAATACATTGAGAGGTTGAAACTGTCCAAACACAACTCCAACCTCCCAAGGAAGTTCCACCAAACGTAGAGACTGCCCAAAACCAATCTGCGCAAAATAAGTCCGCCTCCGAAGAAGGATGGCGACGAACCTACGGGAAGCAGCGGGTTGCGCAGACCCAGCGTGCGTGAGGATCTGTGCCAAAGATGATCACGTAATACTTTGGGTTACCCCTCTATCTAAGCCAGTCCGCATGTTTGTGAATGTAAAGTACTCGTACCCTCGTTCAGACTAAGTGCTCAACTACATTTCTACCTCAACGCACTCTTCAGTTTTGGTATAATTATCTGCACCAAATGACAACAATCCTATCATGTGAAGCTTATTGGTTCTTTTTCTCAGGAACAAATGCTTGGAATTGGAAGAACTGGATTGGTAGTCCGTCAAGGACAGTTCGCCGTCAAGTTACCTCTCAAGTCGAGCACAAGTAGCGACGAAGAGGTGGAAGCAAATATCAAATCACTCCAGCATGAGCAAGCTATCTATCGACGCTTAAGAAGCTGTGGGGGCGTTGTTCCTTTCCTTGTTTACTCAGAGACGGTCACTAAACTCCGCCTAATAGAAAATGGTGATCCACGTTCCTACTTGAGTCAAAATAAGCCATCTAAGTCTTTTCAGCTGGCTTGGTTTCGTTTGATGGCTCACCTCCTTTCGAGAATTGACGACCGGCAATTATTATGGTAGACATTGCCACCCACAACTTTCTTCTCGACGCCGGATTCAAAGTCAAGATATGTGATTTTACGGACTCCGTGAAAATGTCTCTTGACACCTGTATGCAGACGGCTGACTGGGCAGAGTATTCCATACAGACATTAGGCAGTTGGAAGTTGTGATGTATGAGGTGCTGGTTGGGAGTAATGTGAATTTGATATATTTGAGAGTCTACCGTTGGAGCTTAGCAACGGTACATGGCCACGGAGGGAGGATCTTCCCAGCAATGAGGGTCTATGGCTTGCTCCAGTTATTGAATGATGATGGACGAATTGTATATTTGACAGTGCGCGCGCCTTAATGGAAAGAACTGGAGTCCGTCGAGGTGGAGAACGACCGAGTCAAGCAACGTTGGCTATCCAGAAACTTGATATCAGTTTTGCATCCTATTAATTCGTTCCAATGGCTGGAGTTCTCTCTCGCCTTGCAACTACCCTGGTAATATTATTGGTGCATTTGCAGGTTGCGTTTGGAGTCGAAGACGTTCGTGACCTTATACAGTTTGCACTTGATAAAAGACGGGAGATTTATGTTCCTGCTAACGCCAAGGGTGATGTTCTCTCTGGTCTGCAGGTCGCCGAGACTGCCTGTGGTATTACCACTCTCAGATCACCGGTGAGGCCTGGAAGATTCCAAGGACATGGAGACCAGGAGCTACAAGGAACCCCTGGGGAGTTGTCGCTGCCATCTTCCCTGTCGGTGTGTTTCCCAATATGCATTCTTCTATGGTAGGCACTAATGAGTGTAGATCCCCGCCATGATTCCTCCCCGGTGTACTACCATTGCTATCATCACCGACAACACTGATGGTAACCTCGAGCGTGACCCAGAAGCAACCACGATACTCATCCAGTTGGCCAAGGAAGCCGGCGTCCCTCCCAGTGTTATTAATAACATCCACGGATAATACAAGGCCGTCAACCTCATCCTGGATGGCCCTCGCCGAGGTCAACGACACCAGCTTTATTGGCGGTTGTTGTGCTGGAGAGTACGTCTACACCCGTGGGTGCGCCACTGGAAAGCATGTACAGGCCAACCTTGGTGTCATGAACCACGCTGCCGTGCTTCTCAGCGTAAACAAGCTATCAATGCCATAGTTGGAGCTGCTTTCAGCGCTGCACGCTAGCTTTACATGGCTATCGGTACAGTGGTCATGATTGGGGTGAGCGAGGAGTGGCTGCCTTAGATGGCAGAACGAGCCAAGGCCCAAGACGTCAACAGAGGCTTCGAAAAGGGCGCTGAACTGGCTCTTTCATCGGTTCCAAGAGCAAGAAGCACATCGGGGACCTGATCGCTATTGCGGGAGAGGAGTGCACCACTATGCTTCTAGACAGAAGAGGTTGTCTAACTTCCTCCTCATTATACGCTGGGTTGCTCTGAGTGAATTCTCAGTAACCTACCTTTCAACAACTTTTGGGTGCTTCATACACTGAGAGCTCCTCATTTGTATTACCCGGCCAATGAAAGCCATCAATCAACTCAAGCACCAAGGATTTCAGTATGCAATCTGCCGTCGAGCAGGGCACTTTAATGTGTGGTGAATTAAGCATACGTCATACCTCGATTTAGTATACTCCCAAACAACGAATCATATTGTCACTGAAGTTTTAGCAGAGCATGATTATCAGTTTGTGGTTTGACTTGTTATATATCCTTTGTCCACTCAACGACGGTAAGAATATGTAGAGAGTCTGGAGAATGAGATACAAAGAATGCCTTTGTTTCATTGGCGTAGCTCTGCATTCCTGACTTAGACGCCCTTTATGACCACAAAGTCTTTGTCTAGGATGATATATCCTACTAAGAAAGTTTGAACGGAGATAAGAGATCTCAAAAAAAGGCTTATTTCTTCAAAGAACAGCATCTTAAAATGTACACCAGAAACAAAACACCTAATGTTGTCGGTCAAGCCAGCATTACGTTGTCGACCGAATCTATAAATCACACACAATTCCCACTGCCTGGAAGAACAACCTCAGCCGCCACAGATCATCAAATCTCTGACCTCCAGAATTCACCGTTCAACGACATTGTATCTGCGTCGACTCATTTCAAAATGGATGTCAAGGTCGAGAATATTGTAGCCATGGGTGAGCGAGGCGACTACACCGCCAGTGACGTTGACCCTAGCATTTGTACCTCACACGACGCTCCCGACCCTGCGGAAGACTACGTGGCCGACGGAAAGTCGAAGCTCGTTTCCCACACAGACCGGTACTCTGTGAGTCGTATACACATTGGATCCACCGTCCTGACGGCGGTGATCTGGTATGGCGAGGAGCCTATTGTCTGGAACGACGAGCCCCTCCGCGTGCTACATGCTGAGTCCGAAAGCCTGCGGGAAGCGCACCCGGACGCGGCAAGGTTTCACGGGTATATCCAGTACGATGAGGAAGTCCGGCTGTATTGTGAAGGGCCGAAAGGGTTTAAGTACTCCGGGAAAGAGACCTTCCATGAAAAAGATGATCGACATTTCCTGGTCAATTGGACACAGAACAAAGTCCTTGGACTCGACACTCGTTGTGCTGATGTCGAGGAGGAAGGGGACTCAAGCGTGACTGGCCCGAGGACACTCGAGATTGCTGCCTAGGTGTGGTCGCTGTGGGTCGTTAATCTGTGGGTTTGTAACGGCTCTTGCTATCTTGTATGAAATAACTTAATAATACAACAAAAAAGTTGAAAACCTGGACTAGAACCTATTCACCATGATGAGTTGTTGTTAGAAAACTTCTCTTAAGCACATCCCACGAAATGCTCTGTGCGTTCCTATATGAGATATTTAGTTGCACCCAATCCATAAATAAAGTGTCCTAGACGAGCACAACTTCTACTATCTAGACTAAGTATTCTCTTGGTCAAGCCCATGCGGGTTCTTGGATACTTCACTTTACCACTCGTAAACTGATTCAATAGCGTAGCCAAGCACGAACTCAAACACGGAGAGGTTACTACAACATAAGCAGGCCCCTGATCCTTGCTACCTTAACCAAGCAATTTGTCGGACATAAGCCTCCATACTAATGCAAGTGCACATCTACGGCCGCATAGCGTATGCTTGGCCCGACAGATTGCACCGCGCAAAACGTGGCCGCCTAGTGCGTTGCGTGCTAATGAAACTCAATCAATATGAGAATCGATCGTTGCGCCCCACCCCCTGCATCCCTAGGTAATGTCCGACGCACTTATACTCGTATTTGCGCAAAAAAAAAAAATCATCCCCGATCAATGCCTGCTGGGTACCTGGACCTTATCCTTGAAACTTGCCACATGGGCCAGCGTTGAGGCTACCCACAGCCTTAGCAGAATTTATACTTGGTGGCCGTGGAAGGTTACATCCAGAAACGCAAAAGTGCGCGATGGGACGTCGATACTTCGCGCTAGGATTGGATAAACTCTGCAGAATTATTAGATCGGGGCATCCCTGCTAGTTCGCCGACGTGGCGTAGTCTTCATGATTCATGCTTTGCGGACTAAGTCTTGGACGCTGTTGTCATGCTTGTGAATTGTTCCGTAGAGCCAGGGGTATGCATTCTCTACACCTTCCTTCTCCAAAGAGAAAATCAGACAATTTGCGACCGAAATAAAGTGTCTCTCTTGGACCCGGCTGAAAGCCACTCCCGACCTATAACGGGATCACTTGCAATTAACTCCATTATCGAATATTCGTCAACGACTCTCCCGGAACCCTGCGGAACCGTGGCATGAGAGGATTTCAGGCTTGTGGAGCCAGCAATTGGATTTGGCGGAGGGAAGGTGGTCTGTTGCAGCCGAGAGCGAGTCCACCGTCTCCAGTCCAAGACTCCAGCCTATCAATAAAACCTGTTAAGGCCAGCGAGCGAAGTACAGCGACTAGTTTGTGGACAAAGTTCACTGGGCGCCCCGCTACTTAGATTAAACTAGTGCTGACGGCGCGGACCGACTGCACAGACTTACAGCGCAATTTGTTTGCATCTCCGCTCGTGCTGCATTATGCACGCAACATGGCGTAAACCCATTGTCAAGAAAAAAAAAAAAAAAAAAAAAAAAAAAAAGGAAAAAAGAAGTTAGGTTGAATTATATACATGGAAGACAAAAGAAAATCATGCTACTGATATGTAGTCAATGTGGGCACCGCAGTGGGAAGCCTACCGGAGCCAGCCCTCGTCGGCGGCGTGCGTCGACGAGGGCTCGGATTCAATACGGCTGCTTCGTCGCGTCTCGTGCGTGATCTCGATCTGGTTGGAGACCACAATCGCACTATTGGGGGTGTCCGTCACGTCCGCAGGCGCCGGGTATGCTTTCAGGGTCTGCATCTTCATGTCGCCCATCATGCGTTCCTCACTCTCGGTGAAGGTCAGCCCGATCGTAATCGGGTCGGTGCTTCTGTTGCGGTTCCGGCTGGCAGAGGCGCCGCCGCCGCCTCCGATCGTCTGGAATCCCGAGGGGTTCTTGTGGCTCTTTTGCGAGGACTGGAAGGCGCTGCCGAAGGCGCGTGCGAGCCAGGTGCGGAATAGGTGGAAGACCATCGGCAGGTTGGTCGTGATGACTGCGGCGAAGGTCTCCCGTGTACCCCATTCCTCGGCAATGGAGGCTCCGTTGTTTTGTTCCTGTGCGATGTGAGCGAGGTGGTTAGGTGCTGTTATTTTTTGTGCAACTTAAAGATGGAGCGAGAACTCACCACAATGAGAAACACGGCCTTCAGGGTCGCACAGACGAGAATGAAGATACCTGCACTGAGGATGATGGTCGCCGCGATTTTCTTGATGACCTTCAGGCTCGATCCCCAGAGCATAGGAATCGGTAACAGAATCAAATATGGGTCTGTGAGGAGGTTGGATGCAAAGGTGATGGCGACCACCGGCATCGAGATGGCAGGCTGGCAAACGTCTGGCGGATAACACTGTGAGCGGGAATCATGACATCGAGGCTAGAAGCAAACTCACTGCCGGGGTCGGGGTAGATCTGCCAATTCTTGTGGAACGGGCGACAAGACGCCAGAATGGTGACCGTGCTGGCGATGAAGGCCCCAATGACCAAGATGAATCCAATATAGATTGGCACGCGATACCGTCGACCGAGGCCATCCTATGGTAAAACCATGGATCAGTACATTGTAAAGAGCATAGATGGTTGGCGACAGTCGTACCATCAATCGAGCGTAGAATGCTAACATCGACAATTTGAGAAAGCTGATCAATGCTGTATAGGTGGCCCAGCCCGCAACTTGGATCTTCGAGCCGATCACCCTGAAGAGACAGATCAGTGACCGTGCATGCATGACGAGCGGATCCGCCAACTTACCGGGCATGATATTCTGCACTATCTGGGGCCAATGCGGCCCGTTGAGCGTCGGTCATGCTGTTGTTTGCCAGTCCGTGGGCCACTGCGCCCACATTGTAGGCCAGCGAGACCTGCGCGGTGTAGAATAACTGCAGCATTCCAAGTCAGCCCGTCAGAACGTGTAGAGCGCTCAGGGTAAGAAGGCACCCACAATTCCCACCCAGACCAGGTAGTCGTCCAGGCGCAAGTTTCTCCAGCCCACGACTCTGCTCTGCGACCACGTCCGCAACATCGTCACCGCAACACCAACTGCGTACATGGTCCATAGTTGGACGTTGGTATTGTACGCCGCCTTTGAAGCGGCGTCCCGCGCCTCAAGCACTGTCCACATGGTTCTGTGCGCGGACTCTGATCTACAATGCAGACTAAGTCGTGGAATTGCGCAGGGGGGTTTTGAAAGGGGAGAACGTGTCCACCTGCAGTGCCTTACGGGCAGGATCAGGGATGTGCGAGATCTGTCTAGTATAAAAAGAATGCAAGCATTACACAATCAGGTGTTATTGCACAATCAGGTTGATTGTCTGGTTTCGGCTATTGGCTTATGCGATTCAGGGCAAGATGGTGGCGAATGCAACGTGGGGAGGACTTCCTATTTTTGAGAAGCTGCCACGAGTCCACGACCACCAGGCTTGCCTATTTTTTGAGCACCCGGCCACTGCACTCACTGCCAAAAAATCATTCTAGGCCGATACAATAGGGTGGAGCGGATTGATGTTATCTACGCTGCTCTACTCTCTCTGCCTGATGAATTCAAAAAAGTATTTACGGCGGACTGATTGGCAGTGTTCCAGTGCAGGGTATCAAGGTTTGCACGAGCAAGTTTAGTGAAGTCTCGTACTCCAGGACAAGGTATAATTAATACCTCGGTTGGAGGCACGCTCGAAGGTTAAATCGCGGACAAATCCCCAGCCCCACCAGAATTAGATAAGGTTCCCACTCTGTTTGTTCAAATGAGGCAAAAGATTGTCGATCTCCAGTCCTTACCGCCAGCCCCGAGGGGGGGAGTCCGCAGCCATTCACCATCAGGGCGCCTCCATCCCAGTCCCTGCAGTCAACCACTCTAGTGCTCTCTCCAGCCTACTCCTCCGATACTACTGCTAGGAACCGGATCATATGACTCTATTCGGACGAGGAGGCAAGCAACCCCAATTTTGGTCGAGTGGAGCATCCAGGCACGAAATCTTAGAAATAAACTCCCTTGCCCACCCCCTCCTCGGGGAGGATCTTCTGTCCTGACGATCACAACTCTGTCGACCCTTGGCATCCTTGCTTGTTCACCTTTCACTTTCTGCCCGGTTCCTTGCACAATGTATCGGTTTAAGCTGGAACTAGTCACGGCTATCGCCACGTGGGCGCTGGCCGCCGCCTGTCACCAACTGCCTCGTGCCTCTGACGGGTCGGAGGGCTCTTGCCACCAAGGCGATGCCGACTTCAAGGCTCTCGGAGCCAAACTTTCTAGCAATGCCCAGGTGTACTGCCCGGGCTCAAGTGGGTTCAAGGATGCGACCACACGGTGGTCCGTTCTGGAGGAGCCTCAGGTCAACATCGTCTTTGTTCCTGGCACGGAGAATGACGTTGCCGAAATTGTACAGCTTCCTTACCATTCATCATTCTCAATCTTTATAAACTATATTGTGACTGACCGATTCTGCGAATAGGTGCAATATGCCAACAAGAAGGACCTGCCGTTCCTGACGTACAACGGTGTCCACGGCGCCCTCACCTCTCTCGGCAAGATGGACCACGGCATTGCCATCTACATGGGACAGTTGAGCAGCGTCCAGGTCGCGGCCGATGGCCAGACCGCGACATTTGGTGGCGGCACCATGTCCAAGCTTGTCACGGACGAGCTCTGGGCGGCCGGTAAGCAGACGGTGACGGGCACCTGCGAGTGTGTCAGTCTCCTCGGACCCGCCCTGGGTGGCGGCCATGGCTGGCTCCAGGGCCACCACGGCCTCGTCTCGGACCAGTTTGTGTCCATGAACATCGTGCTTGCCGACGGCACTCTGACCACCATTGACGAGACCTCCGATCTCTGGTGGGCCGTCAAGGGTGCTGGCCACAACTTTGGCATTGTCACTTCCCTGACCTCGAAGATCTACGACATCGAACACAGTGACTGGGCCATCGAGACCATCATCTTCAGCGGCGACAAGGTCGAGGAGGTTTACCAGGCTACGAATGACTACCTCCTGAAGAACGGCACTCAGCCCGCCGGCGTGATCAATTGGTCGTACTGGATGAACAACGCCGAGGCTGACCCCAGCAACGTGAGTACCAACCCCAAACACTTTCAAAAACCCAGCACTAACACCCCACAGCCCGTGATCGTCTTCTATATCATCCAAGAAGGCGTGACAGCCGTCGACACCGCGTACACGGCGCCCTTCCACAACATCGGCCCGATCTCCGTGACGGCCGAGAGCGGAACCTACAAGGACCTGGCGGCGTGGACCAGCATTGCCACCAGCTCGCCACCATGCCAGAAGATGGGGATGGCCAACCCGCGCTTCCCCATCTACCTAGAGACGTACGACGTGGCGGCGCAGAAGCAGGCATGGGACGTCTACGCGAACGCGATCCGCGGCTCGTCTGCCTTCAACAACTCCATCTTCATGTTCGAGGGCTACTCCGTCGGGGGCGTCCACTCAATCGACGCCAGCACCAGCGCCTTCGCCTTCCGCTCCGAGAACCTGCTCGCCGCTCCGCTCATCAACTACTTCCCCGACGGTGCCGAGCTCGACCAGAAGGCCGCCAGCCTGGGCCAGGAGCTCCGCAACATCCTCTTCAAGGCCAGCGGCCGTGACCACATCCGCGCCTACGTCAACTACGCCTACGGCGACGAGACGCCCCAGCAGCTGTACGGTAGCGAGGACTGGCGCCAGCAGCGCCTGCAGGAGCTGAAGAAGACGTATGATCCCTCCGGCAAGTTCAGCTTCTATGCGCCCGTGGCCTAGGGGGTTGCAGAGGGGTTGTTCGGATGTACAGGGTTGGCACGATATACGCGCCGTAATTCATTGTCTATACCACGAGTTCTTATGTTAATTGAATCGTTAATAGAAGGAAAGCTTCCGTCGTAATTTCAAGATGTGTGCAGGCGTGTAGTTGCTGTGCATCGAATTTGCAGATGCGACCGTAGTCGGATCCCGCAGGTGCCATTGCGCCAGGACAAGACGTCACCCGTCGATGGACTGTGCAGAAAGAGTGCAGTCGGGTTGGCAGGTGGTCTCAGGACCTGCGTGGCGCGCTTGAGAACAAGCATTCGACCTTGCGGTGGTGATTAGGTTGTGGCGCACTTGTCCCTGGTTCGCCTCCACACCTGAGCAACGTATCCTGGAATGTGTCGCAGATGGCTTCACTGCACTTACCGACAACACCGCCCACATATTGTCGCATGAGCTAGAAATGGTGAATCTCGACTGCAAAGCTCCGAGCAGATTTCAGAGCCCTACATTTTAGACCCGGAGGCACTTATTGCTGGCTGTGACTCTTGCTTTGGACACTGTCTGTCTGCCCTGAGTTGAGGATGCTTCTGCAGATCGAAGTTGAGTCGATCTTTATACCTCCTTGGCGACGGCCGTAAGTCGTTCTTATGGTCATATCCTCGAGACTACGCTTGGGCTTTACAGCCAGTGTTCTACCGTGACATCTGAGATATCAAGTACGACAAACCCGATTGGACACCTCTACGAACCCAGCCCAATAATTGGTGACATTGTACGATGCGTGCATGCCCGGAGGTTCGTATGTTCCGCTGACAGTAAGTCATTGGGGATTGGAAAGAAGGAGCCTAAGCCAGATGATTGTCACTCTCCCGAGCGGTCTATCCGGCTCAGATGAACGCAGTCCATTTCGGCATCGCAGCCTGCAGCCGAGTCAAGGCTACTACGCCGCATAGTCGGCACTCAGCAACGGGTTTTTGCCTCGTGACATGAGATTAGGATCATCCGAAAGGCTATTAAAATGATTGCTGTGGCGGCCCGGCCATCCCTCGCCAAGGATGCCTCGTATCGACTCCTGCAGGTGTCCGAAGACCCTCGATCATTACCCAATCTCGAGGATTGAGATGCATGAAGACGCATTCTTCATCTCCAAGTCTGGCAGCGATCGGCGAATTGTTGTTGCCATCGGACGAACACTGGACCTGTCAAAAACCAAAAGCTGGATACGGTACCGGTGCGAGAAGTCTCCTCTAGCCATACAACTGAGCCAGATCTTGCTGACGCATGGAAGCCGAAGAAGGGCCAGTGGTTGATTTTCGGGTTTCTGGCCTTGCTCTCGTTCATCATTTCGCTGGACACCACGATCATCACGCCTGCCATCCCGGTGAGTGCCACCCAAAAACCCACGGAAGCGTCTAACCTCATAGCCACAGGTCCTCGAGCTGTCCCTGAATGGCGACACCGTCAAGGCCTTCTGGGCCGGCACCTCCTACCTCCTCGCCAGCGCCGTGTGCCAGCCGTTCATCGTTGATTTGTCCGACGTGTTCGGTCGCCGGGAAGTCTTGTTCGTCGTCGTTTGCCTGTTCACGCTCGTGACCATCCTGTCGGCCGTGGCCCATGGCTTCAACCTCCTAACCGGTCGGTCGCTGGAGGGCGTCGGCAGCGGCGGAATCATGGCCAGTTGCATCGTCATCACGACCGACATTGTGCCGCTGCGCCAGCGCCCGACCTACTACGCGATCGTGCAGATGGCCTGGGCGATCGGCATGCTGGCCGTGCCCGTCATCGGCTGCGCCATCGCGCAGAACATCATCTGGCGCTGGATCTTCTACATCAATCTGCCCTTCCGCGGCATCGGGCTGGCGATGGTACCGCTGACGGTGCGCCTGAAGGCCGACCGACCCAGCATCATGCAGCGCCTGACGTCCATCGACTGGATTGGCGGCGTCTTGTTCATCGGCAGCCTGTGCAGCTTCCTCATCGGCATCACCTGGGGCGGGAACCAGTTCGCCTGGGCCAGCTGGCAGATCATCGTGCCGATCGTCGTTGGCACCGTCGGGTGCGTTGCCGCGCTCTTTTGGGAGGCGTTCATGGCCCATTCCCCGTTCATTCACGGCCGCCTGTTCGCCAGCTACTCCGCTGTCGTCGCATACATCTGCGCATGTCTGCAGGGCACACTGGTGCGCACACTCCCTCCCCAATCCTTGCACCCAACTACTAACCATCCCAACTCAGATGCTCGGACTCCTGTACTTCATCCCGCTGAGCCTGCAGATTGTCAAGGGCTTCGACGCGATCAGCAGTGGACTGGCGCTCATGATGATCCTGGGGGTGATGTTGCCGGCGAGCGTGGTGGCAGGAATGCCGCTGACGCGACTGGGGGCGTACCGGTGGGCGATCTGGAGCGGATGGGTGCTGCCGACGGTGGCGATCGGGCTGCTGACGCTAGTGGACGCGCACATCTCAGCGGCGCGCTGGGTGTTCATCTTCCTGACGCTGGGGGTAGGCCAGGGACTTGTGCTGACGGCGCAGGACTTCGCCGTGCAGGCATTGGCGCAGGTCAACCGCGACGCCTCGGCCGCGGGGCTGTACTGTACACCTTCATGCGCTCGCTGGGCATGTGCATCGGCGTCGCCGTCGCCGGCACCTTCTTCCAGAACCGCCTCGCGCACCACCTCGTTGAAGCCCGGCTGCCGGCCCGCGTCGCCTCCGCCGCCGCCGAGTTCGCTCTCGAGTTGCGGTCCTCTGCTCTCTCGCCCGCCGAGAAATCGGCCTATGTCCACGCTTTCCGCGTCGCCTTCCGCGATCTCTGGATCTTCTTTGGCGCTGTCTCTGCCTTCGCATTCGTGCTGTCGCTCGTCATTCGGCATGCGACGCTGGATCGGACATTGCAGTCGGAGCATACTCTTCTTGAACGGAAGAAGTGTGCAGGAGGAAGAGAAGGTTGAGGGCGGGCTGGCGTGATGCTGTTGTAAATGTTGGTCAACCTTCATGTCCTGATGGAGTGTTTTCATCGAGGCTGATATTGTGTAATAATAATCCGGTGCAGCATCTTAGGGACGGCTTACGGTCCATAATTCTATTTTTCCTCACTACGCTAGAGGAACAGCGTAGCACATGCGAGCAGTGCTGGAGTGAATCCCAAACCGAGCTCATCAATAAGGAAGCCAAGTTGATGCCTCGGCTAGCCGACGTCTACATCAGTCACGTGATCGACACTCCTGTCACGACCCGACAAGCGAATCATCGATCCATTAACATCAAGCGCAATATATACATCCACCGTCGACGGCAGGCTATGTACAACTCCGATTCGCCGCTGTACGCAATGCATGCAACACGTATCACCATATGTCTTCATGATATACAACGCAAGAAAGTCCAACAACCGTCAGTTCATGCCCACTGCCGCAGCCTCTGCTCACGGGAGAAATCATTCCATCATGCAAAGTCAAAACCATTAAGCTGTGTATGCGAACGCAAACAAAAACAAAAATCCCATTTAGCTCACGCTGCCGCAGGTGAACGGCGAGCGGACGTTACCTGTGTGGTAGTTGTTGATCTGATTGGTTCCTGGTTAGTGGGGGTTTGAAACCGTACGAAAGGGGGGAAAGGAGGACTTACAATATCCTGTACACTGGAGTACATGCCGCCGACCAGCACGACCAAACCGAAGATGAAGACCAGGAAGTTCACGATGCTGGTCATCAGGTTCTCGCGCGAGTACCACGGCCCTTTGCGGATGAGCACGTACCACAAGATCGGCGGCAGGTAGAAGGAGAAGCCCGAGGTGAACAGCGCGGAGGCGATGGAGAGCAGGTCGTCGAAGAATGGGATGGCCTCGGCGATGACCCACGCCAGGATGGTCAACACGGTGATCAGGATCAACCAGGTCACCCAGCCCTTGGTGGTGTTGATGTACTTGGTCACGCTGTTGGCGTAGATGCGGCCGTGGATCAGGCGGCCGGCGACGATAGTGCAGATGGCGCCGGAGATGAAGATCACCGGCAGCGCGATGCCGAAGGCCACCTTGCTGACCAGGGCGCCGGCCGACAGCAGCGCCGGCGACTGCACGTCCAGGCCGGTGAACGCGTAGATGGTCGCACCCGTGACCGTGTAGATGACGATCTGCAGGATGCCCAGCGACCAGATCGACTTGGTGAAATCGCGCGGCGTGTGCATCTCATCCATGAACGAGAACAGGCAGCTGGCGAACGTGTACGCGAACACGATGTTGCTGATCGCGATGAACCCGTCCGAGAAGCTGGGGTCGCCCTGCGGCCACGCCGACCACGTCACAGCCCCCAGCCCGCCCGTCGAGTTCGTGCCCTTGATGCCCGTCGCGATGATCGTGATGCCGATGGCCGCCACGATGGAGACGAAGTCCAGGTAGCCGAGCCATGCCATGTCGGCAAACGACGACGGGATCGACAACAGCAGCAGGATGATGGCCGAGACTACGCTGAAGATCACCGAGCAGATGCCGCTGTCGGTGATATGCTGCAGCGCGATGGTGCCCGTCAGGCAGTTGGACCCCGTCAGGAAGATCAGCTGCAGGATCAGCATGAAGGTGAACAGTTCGTACCCCAGGCGGCCCATCAGCAAGGCACCCGCATCGCCGTAGTGCCGGATCGCCGGGAAGGCCAGCTTGACCTGTCCAATCACGTAGGAGGTGTAGATGGCTATCAAGCCGATGCCGACGCAGCAGATGACTCCGGCCACCATGCCGAGCGTCGCGAAGGCGGAGGGAATCGACAGCGAGCCTAATCCGATCGCCTCCACAATCAGCATGATAGTGAGACCCTTCCACCCCAGACGATGGTACTTGGCTTCCCCAGCCTCGATGATCTGCTGGTCCCCATCCTCCACGGCCTCAGGCAGCTTGCCATCAGCGAGCCAAGCGTTCTTGCCGGACAGCGGCTTGTTGCTCTCGCAGTCCTTGCCGGGCCGATTGGCATCTAAGAGCCCTCCTCCATTTGACGGGCTCATGGTGAGCTGGGTGGGAGGCCGTTTCAGGCGATAGACTTCCGGGCAAGCACAGGGAACGACAAGCGCAGGAATGACAGGTAGCAAGCAAGAGCACCAGGACAGCAGTGGTGAGCATGATTCGCAGTCTGGAGATGACACAAAAGATTTCTGATTAGATTACCCGCGGGATGTGCAGATGCGAAAATACCGCCGGAAAGGCCAATACCCCCGCGCGGGTCGATCTACAGGCTGCCGAGCTGGTCATTGGCAGAGCCAGCGCACTTTGCCCCGAATGAGTGACTGGGTCGGTATCAGGGCCAATTACTGCGTGGCGGAAAACTGCTTCGTTTCCCGATTTCGACCCCTCTGTTAGTCGTTTCTTTCGGGAAATGCGGGAAATGCCGCAAAATTTTCGCCGGCGGGTGGATTCGCCCTTGCCCATGGGCTGATTCTTCTTCGAATCAAGTCAACTCGTGCCTTGATGCCACCTCCACCAAGCAGGTGGCCAGCGGTTGACCAGCAGTTGACATCATGCTGGCCCTGTCGATTGTCGAGATTCTGCAAGGGCAGCTCTAATCAATGGCTTTGTCCCCAATGCAAGGGGGAGCCAATCCCGCTGTCAATTCCCATCGCCTAATCCCATGACACATCGCAGTCGACGGGCTTCTAGATGGCTTGGCAAGTTTAATATCACAAGACTGACCAATATAGCAGCAGAAAAGTCAATAATCTGATCGAATCTGTCGAATCCGGTTTAGCCATCGAGCATTGGACTGGACTGGACAAGGCAACGAGGAGAGAAAATGACGTCGTGGCCTGTTCGGAGGGCGGTCACGGATGGCAGAACATGACTCGCCGAAGATTTCCCTCCAATTGAATTAAGCAATCCATTCATTGATTGCAACAATCTATCGAGGCTAGGCAAGGCTTGATGGCATTTTCCTTATGCATTGACGATAGAACCGTACTGCTAAACTCCATCTTCGGAACAGTAGGAAAGAGGCGCACGAATACAGGTGAGGAGATGCGGTGGACGTCCCAGGTGTACGAACAGCGTAAGTGATGGAGTATCGTTCTCATACGATGACCGGTGTGAACGTCCCTTGACGAGTTTTTTTCTCGTACAGGGATGGGGTTATCTGGGGAGATAGTGTTGTGTCTCCTTTTGCAGGCGACCTAGGAATGGAGTGTATCTAGATAGACATCGATGTGTGTGCAATGCGTGCTGAACTTGAAGCTATATAAAGCAAATTGCTCCCGAACAATGAAACAAAATCGTCCATCATCCTTTCTCTTTCAAAATCAAATCCACTCTCGGTTCCTTCGGTTCCTTCTGTTCCTTCAAGATTGGAGACATCTTCCACACCGTCCAGGGTGTCCAATTATATTCGCTCTCGATCCTTCCTTCTCCTTCACTCTAACCTTGGTGCAATGGTAACCCTCATGCAGCGACAACTTCACCATCACTCGGGACATCATCGAGCCGGATGGCTATAGGAAGAGCGGCATTTTCATCAAGGGTCAGTTTCCTGGTCCGTTGATCGAAGCTAACTGGGGAGACATGATCTCGGTGACAGTGAATAATATGATTACTACTAATACAGCAGACGGCATGACTCTTCATTGGCAGGGATTGACTCAGGCCAAGTCTCCTCGGGAAGATGGTGTTCCAGGAGTCACCCAGTGCCCAATTGCCCCTGGAAGAAGCTTCACTTATACCTTCCAAGCCGACCAATACGGCACCAGCTGGTCTCATTCCCAAACAGTGCCCAATATACTGATGGGGCATATGGACCAATGATTACTCACGGCCCTGTTCAACCCGAAGCCACCTATGATAATGACCTGGGTCCTCTTATTTTTTCGGACTACAGCCACTTGAGCTGCTTCGAGGTCTGAGAGAAGATCTTCTCTATTTCTCCCGTCTCTCTCAATGCCGACAACAACCTTATTAATGGCCGTGGCGCCTGAAATTGCAACAGCAGCTCCACTATCTGCAGTGTCGAGTCCAGTTTGGCCCGCTTCAATTTCAAATCCGGGAAACCCATCGCTTTCGGCTAATGAACACTGGGTCTAACGCCAATCAGAAGTTCACTATCGACGGCCATAATATGACCGTGATTACCAACGATTTTGTCCCCGTCTACGCTTACACAACCGATGTTGTTACTCTCGGCGTCGGCCAGCGTAGTGATGTCATTGTAACTGCCATCGGCAACTCAACAGACTCATACTAGCTACAGTCAGAATTCTCAGTACCTTATTATCGTCCACATGAAAGAACTGTGCCCTTGCAGTGAAGCATATCTACCGAAGACGATTTAATGCAGAAGGCAAATCGTTGGACAAGTTATACCAAACTAAGGATAGTGGTTCATATATATGATATAGTGCACCATGACAATACAGATTTGATGCAGGTAGAAGTATAAACTGTAATAAGTTATAGTACTAGCAGTTATCTGAATTCTAGTATAGCTGTTCCGGTATAAGGCAAGCAAGCAAGGCCCTGATAACACTAAACATGCTTGGCAGTGTTGGAGCTATGGTTTCGCGCACGGGGAAGCACTTCCCCCTGAGAAACTAGAACACTGTTCCGCTTTCAGTTAATCGCCTACACTCCAGATTATGAAGTTGTAGCATGATTCATCGACCCCTGCTCCATCAGTGCTGATGACGCTTTGAATCTCAAATCAGACTGCCAGATGCATGCAACTCAATCTGTGCTGTCTCCGATGCACTCATCGCAGATGCTCGTAAAGAGTACTTATCCTCCCAGAATGAACCTCAGCGACACGAATCCGATGCTATATGACTAAAGTTACCTCACAATGCGAGATATGCTACATTCTAGCCCAGGATTATAGAGTTTGACCTGGCAGCATGAGCTTCCGCCAGCGCCATCACCGCAAAGCCCTACGCCACGCCGCTTTCCTTTCGCCCACAGAACAACACCTTTAACCGCATATACGCACTACGTATCATCCAAAAAAAATCCAGAAGATGGTAGTTACAATAGAAAGTAACGAGATATATATAACCCTGAGGCGATGTCTCTATTCCGAAAATATATGTTAAAAGTCACATCCCTTTTGTCTATTACAAACCCATCCGAACCCGCTAGAACAAAACCTATAGCCACACCCAATCACAGAAAGTAAAATCTGCACAGGAGGCGATTCAGAACACCCAGGTGATCTCCTAGAACCCCTCCTCACTCCACTGCTGGATCGCCCGCGCCCGGTTCCGAAGACTCAACTCGAGGTCCTGTACCTCGGCCAGGGCCCGACGCACCACATGGCCTACACCCGAGGCAAACGGTGGGGGCGTTGTACCTGTTGTGGTACTTAGGACTGACGATGGCAGGATAATGGATTCTGGGGCGGGGTAGCTGTGGTGTCGGGATGGGGGAAGCGGGTGCTATGTGTGGCTGTAGGTGTGGTAGCTGCGGGGTTCGGGCTGGGAGAGGTCGCGGTCGGAGGAGTGGAGGTGGGAATGGGAGTGGGAGTGTGCGTGTGCGTGGTGGAAGAACATGGAGCCTGGGTGGTGGTGGGGAGGCCCTCCGGTTAGAGGGATGTAGGGGACTCTGGAGGATGAAGAGGAGGTGGTGGATGAGGCAGACGAAGAGGAAGGCGAAGGTAGTCGGGGCCCAGCAACATGCGCTGGGTCGATGATTTGATCGTAGTGAGAACCGTGTTGATCATTTGCACGTTGAGCATGGCTTGTAGTGAGCGTGCGGACGAGGAGGAGACGGAGAATGATCCGAGGGAGACGTCGAGCAAGGGGTTGGAACTCGCGTCAGCCGTGGGAAGATCTTTCTGGTGGCTGAAGGCTGGGTGCGACGGATGTCGTGTGTCGAGACTGGCTGAGCACCGTAACGGTCTTGCAGGATGGAGATCAAGGCGTCGAAGTTGTGCAGGAGCCGGAGATAGATCGTCAGCACGAGGAAGGCAAGAATGCTGTGTTGCGGGTCTGCGGCAGATACTTCTGGGGTGTCGTCGCGCGCATCCCCAGTTCGTACCCTCCACTGACGCCAAAAGAATGATCTTGATTGACGCAGTTGGCGTAGAGTCGGTCGAGGCTGAGGTCCAAGCCGCACGGCCGGGAAGGCGGCCGAGACTCGCGTAGCGCAGGCGCGAAGTGTGGATTGATGCGGTGTAGCACATCCAACGATTGCTCGGATGCCTTCAGATTCCGCTGCAGATGGGTCTTGAACTGTGAATCTGGAATAGGCAAGCTGTGCCCTGATCGGTCCTCGGAGACCTCCATGGTCGACTGGGCCTTTCGGATCATCGCAGCAAGCTCTCGGTTGTTTTGGTTGACGCTCGCCTGCAGCTGAACGAGGTCGAGCACATAGTCATTGGTGGTGCACTCCGTGTCTGACGGGGCCAAAGATGGATCGATCGGACACTTTGAGATCCTCGAACAATCGATGGCTGCTGCTGTATCAGGAACGGTGAAGTCGAGGTCAATTGGACCGGCGAGAAGGTCTGAGTATGGAGCGGGTTCGGAGGAGGCCATTGCCGCGCCGGTCTCTCCCCAGTATGAATCTATGTTCACGCAGCAATCCGTCAGCCGTGTGTTACGTACATGGGAAATGTTGCTGTTGTAGTCTCACCAACATCTAGCTGCATGGGGTCCGACTGAAATGCATCCAGGAGCTCACTGGTTCGTTCGCCCAGGGGCTCGGGGAAGTGCGACGAGGTGTACTCCAGCCCGGTCAACAGGACACTTCGATTCTCTGGGCTCTTCGCCGTGGTGTATGGACTTGCTGATGGTGGGAGGCTCTCTCGATCCCAGCGAGACCCGATCGTCGTTCCATGCCGAGACCGTGATTCGGTGACCTCGGGTTCTCGAGCTTCAATGCGGGGGACTGTCTCGGGTTGAGGTCGGCTTTTCTGTCGAGGCCGACCAAGCCGCTGCGGCGGGTCATAGACGCACTCCGTATCCGCCTTGATGCAACGGATGCAGGTTTTACTCGTGGTTACACCAGGCGGGCGAAGGCATTTCAGTTTGGAGGCATGGCAACGGTTGCATGCCTGGCGGGTGAGGGGAGCTTTGCTTTGGGGGAAAGGGTGAGGTTGGGACTGCGTTGGAGCAGTTGAAGCGACGGTCGGTGACATGATGTGAGTGGTCGCGGTGGTGATATGAGGAAGAACACAAGAGAGAGGTATATGCCGCATCGGAACCAACCCTACGGGCTGGATCGGTGCTTTTATCTATGTACAGTTCAGCAAGCGAGGCAGACTGTAGCCTGCTGCACTTTTGCGGCTAACAACTCGTGGCTGCGCAGGCATCGCAATCCTGCAGCATGTCTCCACATGCAACACTCTTCGGTTTGCATGATCTGGAACTAGATGGAAGAGGTGTTCCTGATTATGATGGATCACGCCGGCCATCAGACGAACAGGCCCATCGATCCTGCAGTATGCCTGATGCGACGAGGCTGTTGGTAAAAATAGCTCATCCCTGGTAAGATTAACTGCCGCCACTTAACTGTGGGCACAGATGGCTCAGACGTCCAAGCTGCCGCTGCTGTTGCGACGCATATGAAGCTCTGCATTGGGAGATAGAATTTGCAATCATTCTTAGCGTAAACGGCTGGAAGTGATTGGCTCGGCCCACATGATCTGATGCTGGGTCTAAGAGCAGGACTCCACTCTGCAGAGCCGTGGACCTCCTGACACATACGACCTGACCTAATCTTCATGCGAAACAGGAGGTGGGCGGTGTATGACCGTGTAACCAACGAGCTCTGTCAGGCCAATCTTGTAATATGACAGGGATTGTTCTGTATGATTCTTACAGCTCCTCATCGCGAAGATGCTATGGGGAGGTCAAAGTCGTTATCGGTGCAAGTCTAGACAGGAAAAGTCGGCACTAGCCTGTTGCCGAGTGATGAATGACAAGGAAGGGAAAATCCTTCGACTGGCATGTTGATCTGGAAGGACTGGCGAAGTGCGCAGGGTTGCCATGTGCTGCACCAAGCCATGTGCTGATGTAGGGGCTGCAGATTTCATACTTCGTCGAGTACAATGGCCCCAGGAGCAATGGCATCGTTATCGGTGGTCATTGGAGACATATTGAGGAGACAGTGGGACCGGATAACCGGGACTGTTCGCGTGGAGGAGGAGGGGAACAAGGAGGGAGACGAGTCTGGGACGGACCCCAACGAGTCAAGCATGCTATAACCTTAGGGCTAATACTATCATGCTATGTATCTGTTAGGTTGCAGTTGTCTCGAAAACTCCGCCCCCACGTTGGCCAACTGCTTGAAGACTCCAAGTGGGTCGAGGTTCTCGGCGGGCGTTCGGAGGTCAAATAGGGTCCGACAGGCGCATTGCCAGCCTATCCAGTCCAGCCCTTAAGGATCGCGTCTATATCTCCAAAGCGCTCATCGATGCCATCTTTCCGGGTAAGCTAATCGTTTCAATGCCCATTGAGAGATAATTTTGGCCCCGTGATATATCAAGCAACCGGGGAAGCTTAGAGATCACATGACCCCACCAGACAGTGGAGATTCTCCCTGACAATAAACAGCGTTTCTCGTATTCCCCGGCGGAGAAGAATCCTACGGGAGTTGCCTTGGGCTCGTCACATTATGAAGGATCTGAAGGAATGGCAGTTTCTCGAGCCAGCGCGCGCAGTCCCGACGATCAGCCTCGTCTAACGATCATGCGACTCGCTGATGGTGCGCCTGGAGAGGGGAGGCTCAGCCCAGACCAAACCCAGGCTAGCACAGCAGCAGCAGATTATCGCTGCGGATTTGAGTTCTGATACGAATGCGCTGACATTCTTCACTTGATCTGACGGGACGCCTAGGTCCGGCTAGCCACCCTTGGCAATCTCGTCCGAGTCGGATATCGACCCCTCGAAACCGGCTCCGGGCCCATTTAGTTAGTGACTATTTACGGGGATAGCGCTGTCATCAGATTAGGTCGGACCAGCGATTGATTAAGTTCTGATATTGCAGACATTGCATGATAGTTTCTCCCGCCGGTAGACTTGGGGCCGGTTTCTTCCCCCGGGGAGGCTCCGGAGGACACATGGGTTTCGGTCTGGCGGATTTGGTAGGGGGTCGCTTTCATTTCAATGTTGTAGTACAAGGTTCTTGAAGAATCTCTATGCTGCATCTCTATTGGCTACTGGCGGGATGATCGTCGAAGTATCGGAAAGGGGCTTATTCCCTGCCCTGGTCTGCGTACGAGGGCGTTTGAGTTTCAATGCTGCAGTCCGTCAGCCAACTAGCCACGTATGGACGTTGCTTGCCCTGTTGCTGACTTGTTTTATCAATTGAGCTATCAGCGATATCTCGCAAGTCCAACAACATTGCTACCACTGACACAATACGCGGGGCCCGTAGATAAATATATCCAGCTGAGTAGAATACGCTTCTGGGACATTTATGGATCCTTGGCAATGAGGGAGCGTATTACGAGGTATACATGAGCGTGATATAGACCAACTATAGAGTCAGACACATGCTGTGTTCAGTCTCTGTGGGCTGCTTACTGAGTCAGGCAAACTACTAGAAAGAAAAAGGCTTTGTTTGCAAAGGGAATTTTACTATGTTTTGAAGCAAACTACAATATGAATGGCACGATGGGTAAAAAAAACATTGGTAATCATTATCGAAAATAACTATGAAAAACGTGCCAAGCAATCCAGAAACCCATCATCAACTTGCTACGAACTAGTTCTCCTGTTTCGCGAGGTCCTCCTTGGCAGAGGACGGAGGCATACCGAACAACCGCTCAAAGATATTCGTCGTCGCCTCCAGATCCCCTGGAGCAGGGTTCTCCGTCTCCTCGCCGTCATTCTTGACGATGTTGAATCCGGGGAAACCCGGCAAGGCATCGCGGATCTGACGGGCGTACATGGGTATACCGGCGGGGTAGAAGACCAGCTCAAAGGGCTTGCCGGGGATGGAGCCGCCCATGTAGGTGAAGGAGACGGTGGGAAAGAAGCTGGCCGTCTGGAAGGTCTTGATCTGCAGCTTCCAGGCGTGGGCAGCCTCGTGCGAGGGGTTGATCGAGCGGATGTTCTGGCGCTCGATCTACTTGATCGCGTCGGCGATCCACCAGCCTTGCACCTCGATCGTGACCACCGCCTGACTGAACAGCGTGGGCGCGTGCGTCCCCTACAGGTGAAACATGTTGGGGTAGCCCGACAACAACAGGCCCAGATAAGTCTCGGCCGCGTTCTTCCAGTCCTCCTGCGGCGTCGTGTCGTGGATGCCGCACACTCCGAGGTCAATCATGCTGCCCGTCGTCGTGTCGAACCCGGTCGCCAGGCACACCACGTCCAGCTCGTGGACCGTCCCGTCCTGCAGCTTGATCCCGTTTTCGGTGAAGCCCACGATCGGGTTGCTCTTGGCGTCGACCAGTTCGACTGTGTCGCGGTTGAATTGCTCGTAGAAGTCGGTCTCGAGCGAGGAGCGCTTGCCGCCGAAGAAGTACGGCGACTCAAGCGGAGCCAGCGGGTCCTTGGCTCTGGGATCGTTGATACGAGCGCGCGTCTTCTTGGCCCAGAAGTCGTGCAGATAGCGGTTGGCAAGCGGGTGGGGCATCGTGTCCTTGTAGTTGGCCGTGGAGAAGTCGAAGCCTCCGCTCTGGTACCGTTGCTCGTAGAAGGCTTCACGTTCGGTCTCGTCGTCCTCCAGGGCGTTTCTCTCACAGAAGTCCACCAGAGCCCCGGTTAACGTCTTTTCGCGGAGGTCAAACAGCTGGGGATAGATGGTCTTCAGCTGATCTTGCTCCTCCTTTGTGAGCTCCTTACGGCGCATGGGGATGGAGTAGTTGGGCGAGCGCAGAAAGACCTTGAGGGAACCAGCGACAAGGCCCCAGGCCTGAATAACTTGGACACCTGAAGCGCCCGTTCCAATGATAGCAGCACGCTTACCGCGCACGTCGACGTCTTCTTCGGGCCAGAAGGAAGTGTGGTGGATAGGACCCTTGAAGTTCTCGATGCCCTCCCATTCCGGGGTATACCTTGGAAGAAACACCAGCAGCGGCAATGAAGTACTTATGCATACGCGGTGCGACCGTCCTCAGTCTTTATTACCCAGCGTCCCTGCTCCTCATTGAACTGAACATCGACAACCACACTGCCGAAAGCAACGTCCTTCTTCACTTGCAGGACCTTGTCAACGTGGTCGAAGTAAGCGCGGAGCACCTTGTAGTCGGGGTAGTTGGTGGTCCATGTCCAGTCCTTTCGCGTCTCGGGGATGGAGAACTGGTACAAGGGGACCTGGGAGTCAACGCGAGCTCCAGGATAGCAGTTGAAGCGCCAGGTGCCGCCTAGATCGGAGCCAGCCTCGTAGATGACGGTCTTGCGACCCACTTTGCGCATCTCATTCAGCATGTAGATACCGCTGAATCCGGCGCCGACGATGAGGACATCGGTTTGAATGTCTTCATAAATCCCAGTCGAGCCATGGGGGTGGGAGAATTCCTTGAGCTCACGCTTCATGATGACTGAGATGATGTGTAAGATAGTTGGAGGGATAGTAAGAGTCGACTGTACAGAATGTCAATGCCCATGGCAGTTCGATCGCGATATAGCATTTCGACGGTCGCAAAATTGACTGCATCCAAGTTCTGAAAGACGGTCGGGTTCGGCGAGTAAGGCTCGTCAGACCATGAATGCGTCTCCAACATTAAGATACACAATGGTGAGCTGGTGTTGCAGGCTCAAGTGGTTTGGAGAGGGACTCCGGCGGCTTCGGATACCCTAACTATCTCCCCGACCCTCGTCGCGGAATCTCGCCGACCGCACCGAACCAACTTCAGATCCCTGTCGAGGCTCGGTGGCTTGGATCTGCGCTAAATCCCCGCCGAGAAAAGAGAATTGTCTGATATATGAGTACCTTGTGGTAGTGGAGAGGGCTGCCCATGCTCCACTTGGTCGAATGAGGCTGAGCCGGATTGTTTCCTTGGCCCTGAGGAGAACCGATAAGCTGTATCGCATTAAACGTTGAGAAAACCTATCATGTGGTTCTCTTGCTTCGAAAATCTGCGTCTGATGATTAATCTGGCTATAGTATAGATCAGGAGTAGTTGCGTCCACGTCGGCAAACGACATCAAGTTTATTATTGCATACATAGTTGACTTCCATGAGGTATGCTTGGGCGTAAAATCAGAATGCGATCCATGTAAACGCATACAAAGCGTATGACGATTATCTTTTCACTTGTATATCCTAAGATGTGCGAGTTCTACAGCCATCGTCAACCCCAAGACAAGTGCTGGTCAAGCTGTAACGATTGTGCAAATTTCGTGACCAAATCAATTGCGTAGAGCTGAGATACAAAGTTCATCCCAACAACGCACAACAACCCCAACACAAAACCAAACCTCTTACTTCCTGTTCAACCGCGCATAAACGAACCAACAAGGGACCTCCTCATCGCGATGGCTCTCCAAGAACTTGACGGTGGTCCGGTCCACCCACTCCTTTAACAGCGCATCAACGACCTTGGGCTCCTCAATGCCCATGCCATCCTTCAACGCCTTGACAAAATACCCCGCCACAACAGCCATAAGCCAGTCCACGACCGTCTTCGCATACCAAGTCGTATGCGCCTCGTCCTCCTCAGGCGATTTGTTCTTGCGAATCCTCACCTCCTCCATCGCCGGATGCAGCACGCACCTCTCGAACACCTCCTCGACCGTCCATTTCTCTCCAACAGCTGACTCGGCCAGCGTGCGCTGCACATCCGCCATCGTCCGGTTATACGCCAGCACTTCGAACACGTTAGCAACAGCCGGATTCAACACTCCCTGCTGCAGCATCTCGATCCACACCGACCGGCACGCATTGACGGGCGCCGCGTAGTTAACCATCTCCTCGCCGTTGGGGCCGAGCTCCTGCCTTACTAATGAGAGAACCAGGCCACCACCTGGGACAATCTCACGCGCCCGGTGCTTGAGGAAGGCAAGCAGATCGGCGTAAGCTTGCGCGCGGAGTTCCGCTTGCAGGACCTCGTGCGTTGGGATGGGGCCCTCGCGGGGCACTGGGGTGACGCGGTCGAGGTGGTGCAGGGCCAAAAGGGAGAAGGCGACGTCCACTGTGTTGCTGGGCACGACCGGCTCGTAGAAGGATTTCGGGTCATCGAGGTGAAGATCTGGGACCCCGCGGCTGCGGGCCAGGTCATGGTCGAGAGGTTGGTCGAGAGGGCGTGGGAATCATTGGCGGGGCGGTCGTTGAAGATCAGTTGGATCTCTCGGTTGGTGGGTAATTGGTGGGATTCGAGAATCGTGGCGAATGGCTGATGGCTGTTGTTGCTATTGGGTTAGAGGTATTATGGAATGGTTTCAGGGCTGGCTTACGAGTTGTTGCCGTGGGCAGACCCAAACTCGAGCGCAGTGAATGGTCGCTGGCTTTGGCCGGCTTGCGCTGCGCCTGCTGCGGCAAACGCAAGCAGCGGCAAGGCGCTGAGCATGGCAGAGCGCTGCAGCGCCGAGTTGGGGCTGTAGAACCCATTGCCATGCATGGGCACATCGTTGGCGGAGACGGTCTTTGCTGGGGCCATGGTTTAGAAGTATCGGGTTCTATCAGAGACTTGCTTTGATAGTTGATGCTCTTTGGGGAGGGACGTAGTCTCTCATATATGTGTGACTGAAACATGCCACAGTCGTCTCCCCCAGAGTCGGAACGTAGTATACATCGGCGAGTTACGCGGCAGTCCGCTCGCGATATTCGGGGGTTCGCAACGAGATTGAGAGGAAGATTATGCATTCGCTATTCAGGGAAGAGAAGGTGAAAACAACAGAAAGTTCATAGGCCATACCGCACAGATCTACAGCTATCATCTACCCAAGCCGAATAATATGTACACATCACCTCAGACTAACCTTCATCATGTACCGTGACCCTCTCATTTGCTGCGCAATGCGAAATACCGTCGACTCATCCTGCCCTGGGATATACTTGAATCGGAACTTACGCAGCAGCGACATCAGCGACAGATGCATCTCTTGCGCGGCGAAGTGCTTCCCAATGCAGACACGACTTCCCGCGAATACGGATAGTAGGGCATACTATTCACCTCTCCCTTATCGTAGATGTCTAGCCAGCGCTCGGGAATAAACTCTGTCGCGTTCAACCAGATATTTTCGTCCAGGTGAAGCTCCTACGTGGTGGGAAACACCGTAGTGCCTTTAGGAACACTGTATCCGAGAAGCGTCTCGTCCTTGAGGGACTCGCGCGGGCTGCCAGTCGCTTGGCCAGGCACCAGACGCATGGTCTCGTCGATACAAGCCTGCAAGTAGGTCATGCCAGGCATACTGTAGTCGCAGTCCGTCTGCCGGTCGTCGCCCTTTGGGTACCGCCGGTCTATTTCCTCGTAAAGAGTGGCAAGCTTTTGCATATTGCGGAGCAAATTGATCAGAGTGAAGAGCTCCGCGTTCGCCGTCGCCTCGCTGCCCGCAATTAAGAGCACCACGACTTCGTCCTGCACATCTGAAGATCGGAAAGTCGACCCGGGGTGATTGTCCTGGTCGGCTGCCTCGACCATCTTCTGCAAAAGATCCTCGCGCGGAGGTTCCTTGCAGTTGGCGATCAACGCCCGTCGCTTCGTCACAGTCTCGGCCGTGAATCAGAAGACGTAGGGTCCCGCTTTGGGATGAATAGGGTCTTCGAGATCCAGGGCATGAATGTTAGGATGCCTTGCATTTTAAGAGCCTGCTTCAGTCGGTCTTGTAGCGGGTGCGATCCTTTGTAGCGGGTGCGATCCGTTCTTCACCAGGTCAAATGTCTGGCCGAACGTGGTTACGCCGATGATGTCTGCTGCCAGGGACTGAATCATATGCTGCATGTCGACCGTCGCGGTGCCGCTGCGACGCCGTGTCTCGAGCTCCTCCATCAGTACCGAAATGCAGTTCAGCATGAGAGGCTGCATGCTGCGAACATAACGTAAGCCGAACATGGACGAGACGAGACGCTGGCGCTGGCTATAGGCTTTCTTGTCCGTGAAGGCGAGGAGAGTTGGTCGCTGGGGATCCTGTCGAAAGTTGCCGTACACAGCCTCAGATCTGGGCCAGTCCTCAATTTGATTGATGCGCTTGATCTCGCCAGCGTCTGCGACCGAGATCATGGTTGGAGATAGAGCGACGATGGGGCCATACTGCTTGTGGAGGTTGACGGTGAAGTAGTGACTATTATCGGCATCCAATCTTAGTACGGTCGCGTTCGATGGGGGAAAACACCCCTTACCTTTCACCTTTGGCAATCGCCACCTTCAATGGTAAAAAAGTGAGCTTGTGCACCCATGGTCCTGGTATGCGCAAAATCGGAGAGAACAGGCGCTGAATGTACAGAAAAATCTTGGGAATGACATAGCCGACAAGCAGCAGTGTCCAAATGATATTTGTGCCTGAGATGTAAGGCTTGAGGAGCCCGGTGATGTCGATCTGACTCGGTGTCATCTTGCAGGAATGGAGTAAGTACTGGCGTACAGCTGGACACGCTTTTGTGGTGGAAGCTAAGGCTATTTAATGGTTCTCTACTTGAGCTCTTTCGCTGAGGCTGCCGGCGATCGTTCATAAGAAAGTCGCCGATGCGCCTTAAACTCACCAGCAGCATTCAGGCCAAAACTGACTCTAGTGGCATGACTGGTTCACAGAACCTCTTGCGCAGATACAATATCGCTACCGTATTATGGGTTCGGTTTGTATGCTCTGATCCAGTCTCTACGTCACTTCTGCCTGTATACGTGTACCGACTTGAACTGGCAGAAGACCAGCAATCCTTCAAGCCCATACTCGATCCCAAGCACAGTTTGCTTGCGACCCCAAAACGCAACGTATGCATTTGACTTGGGAGGGCCACTTATGAACACATTCCCGACGTCAAGCTGAGACGAGACCTCAGCCAACGCCACATCCGCCGTCCAGATAATAGCACTGAGTCCGCTGGTGGTCTCGTTGGCCACGCAGATTGCCTCTTCCGCTGTGGTAAAAAGCTTGCAGGAGATAATAGGCCCTGCATTAAGAAAAGCATCGATACCATTCTCAATGAGATCATGCATAGAGAGATCGCTCGCTCACCAAAATGTTCCTCCCGAAGGATCTCCGCATCATCAGGGGAGTTATCCAGAATCGCTGGACGGACAAACTGTCCTCCTTCGCTAGTAGAATCTGTACCTTTGCTATTCTCGCCCACAAAGCGATATCCTTGTTCCTTACACTGTCGCAGCGCCGTCTGGATCTTCTCAAACTGCTCTGATTCTGCATTGGCCCAACATTGGTCGCCAGGTCCGCCGCAATCGCATCCGTCATCGCTGCCAGCGCGCGCACAAACTCATCGTAGATTGAGGCATGGATGTACAGCCGTCGCGCGTTGAAGCAGATTTGTCCTGCATTGAACCAGAGTCCGTCGGTGATCTGGGCGGCTGTGGCATTGATATCTACGTCGGGAAACACAATGGCGATATTGTTTCCTCCCCTTCCCTAAGTACGTCATTCATCTGCAGACTCTGTGCTTTGCAATCTGCTAACGTCGCGGAGTCGGTTGACCCCATCTTGTAATTCAGCAAGATCGGAAACAGAGGGTTCTCCGGTGGGGAGCGTTTCACCGACAACTCATCCAGAAGTACCTGGTACGGCACCGCTGAGTGTGTTAACTGTGCGGACTTGCCTTGTGGTTGTAGACAACAGATCCCGGAAAGATTGGCCGGACCGAGAGGCCCGGAAGTGTAGAGGAATCATGTTGACAAACATTCCCACAACTTTGCAGGGCTTCTTTATCCTCGCGTCCCGCGTCTGATATCCCGAGGCAAATGTCTCGTCGTTGTTGACCCAGTAATCGAAAAACCAGTTCGCGTAGCGCAGTGAGGTAGAGAAGCAACGAGGTGGTTCCGCCTACTTTGTGAGCTACCTCTTTGATCTTCGATGCCAGTTGTACCCCAACTTCTCGCTGTACGTTGTGAACTCGGTAGCTGTTCAGTGGCTTTCGTGACGAGACGCGAGCGAAGGCAAACAAAGAGATCGGTGGGGGGATGTTGGCGAGCTTGGTCTTCCATAACTCCAAACTCTCTCGGTACGCATCCTGGGCGACGAACTGACGTTGGAGAATCGTATAGTCTCGATACCGAGGCGCAGGTGGCAGGAATCGTCTCGTAGAATAGATCAGCTGCAGGTCCTTGATGAAGATCTGCGCGCTGAAGCCACTCAAGGCGATGTGTTGGAAGCCTAGGATTAGGAATTGCGTTGTTGGCGTAAGTGATAAGATGGCCACCTTCATTGTTTGGCCTCGGGTGAGATCGTAGACATGTTCCTTGATCGAAGCGTACACTTCATTGACAACATGAGCATCATCAGTGGTATGGATGCTGATATCAATGTGTTTCGGGTAGCACACCCTGAAACAGTTGTGGGTCCCCGTCTTTGGTGTCAAGGAAAAAGGCCGTCCGTAACGATTCATGTCTGTTCGACATAGCTCTAAAGGCTGCAGCAAGCTCAGTGGGCTGCAAGGGGCCTTCCACAGCATATGACATGGTGACATTGAACGTCGTGGGATCGGTCAGGTACTCATGCAAGAACCGAATTCTCTCCTGTGCGAATGACGCTCGCTCCACGGCTTCGAATACGAGGTGGATGTCTGGTATGCCATCTTCCTCTGTCTGCACTACGCTCAGATTCGGAGACAGACTTTGTGGTGTTGAGGCGGATGTTGAGTGGTATGCACTGGATGACTGGCTATCGTCGTCGAGGTTTCGGTTGCAGGTATTTTCTTCCACCTGCAAATGCTTTCGAGTCATCTGGATTACATCGGTTGACTCAATGTTGAGGATACTCTTCATTTGATCAGCGTCACTGATTTGAACATGAGGTGTGGTGGTCTTTGCGGATTTGTCTCGACTCCCTAGCATCTGCCATAGCTCAGGGGCCGATGAAGCGTTACCCGAGATGGTCATAGGTTCAGGCATGGCCATATTGTGGTTGGTGGTCATGAAGCTGCAAGGAAATTAACGAAAGAAAAATGGGCTAGAATACCGAACGATGTTGAATGTTGCACGGTATCTCTATTGGGGCATGGGTCGGATGTCAAGATGGTATCGGATTGTACTTTGGATCATGCAGATAGCCACCGTGAAAATTTTTAGGGTCACTGGCATAGCCCAGGCCAGCGCGAACGGACATCGCCGAGTCACTGCCACTCGGCCAGTTGCTCGCTACTCAGGTTGAGGCGGATGGATTTCGGCGGTTTCCCTTCCGCTTCGAACTCACAAAAAGCAAAAGTATAATCAACCATACAGACATAAGAGAAAGAGCACCACTTGGTAGTAGCCCGCTGTATGACATAGTGCCTGATGTAGCTGTCGCATTTCATGAATATAAACACTGCAGGAATCGCATTCACCCGAGTGGCGCTTGGAAGCTCTCTGGAAATAAAATGGTGAAAGAGCTTAAAGTCGAATGTCACCGATTGACCTCCCAACCACATGTGATAGGTAACGATGGTTTGGAGATGAATTTTCATCTGATTTGGTCTTGGTCGGATGGCAATTTACTGGTTAGTCCAGAATTACTTGTTAATGACCTGCCGGAGGTGGCCTGAATCTGATGCCCTCTGTCGCACAGCAGCTATCTCATCGCTCACAGAGGCAATCCGTGATCGACACCTCCCTCAGCCTTTCTTTGGTCTCATTATTGTCTCATTTTCGTAAGCTCTTGAGAAGTTGACGAGACTATGCGCGTCAGCCATCACAACTGGATGGAGGTATTCGATGCACCAGGAGATCAGTCAATCGTTAGGTGGGTGTTTATTTCGCAAAACGTAGTCCTTCCAAACGGCTCGCAGCACCAGGTGTGGCTGTGTGTGAGCTTGAACGGAAACAGAGACTGCAACAGGATAAAGGAAATTCTCGCATTTGTAGATGCGGAAAGAAAAGAATTGGGGTAGGAAAACGCATCCTTTACCCTGAACCTGGGATTTGTGTCCTCCAGAAGTTGAATCACTTCGTTTTCTTCTGAATCCCTCTTCCGCTGCCGCCTGCTGGGCGTGTCGGAGGATTTCTCGGACGATTCCGGGAATTTTTGATCGAGGAACCTATGAGAGTGATCAGTAGGATTCAATAGATCAGGGACGTTTGTCTCACTGTTACTATTGTTCCTTGCTCTCTTTTGCGACCGGCGCTGTTGGGCATTGCTCTGCCGTTTACGGGCACGAGCGCGTGCCTCATCCTCTTTTTTTTTTTTTTTAGGGCAGCTTCAACAGCTTTTTGTAGAGACTGTTGGTGGACGTCGAGCATAGAAACATCCGTCTGTTCCTTGACGGTGAGTTTCTTCACCTTCTGGAGAAGTGAAGTTTGGTGTCGGGATTGACCGATGGACACGGCCCTAGAAGCGTACCACTGAGCGAGTCCGTCGAGCTTTCCTTTTTCCTCGTTGATGAAGGTATTGAGAGTGTTGACCTCTCCTCCTGTCAATGTGAGGATTTGTGCGTAGGCATCGTTGATGGCTTTCTGAACGATGGCTCCGCCGACGTCTTTTTCGAGGCATGTTTCCCAATAGTATTTGACCTCAGCCTGCTTGAGTTCAATCGCGGAGTCGAGCAGGGTTTGCCGGAGTGTCGTAACTTGCGATTCGAATGGTTTAAGGGCAGTGACACCCTGGGTGCTCTTTCGAAAGAGCTCGGAGCATTGGATGACGGGCGGACGAATAGCCTTGATCGCTGGAGGTAGCGTTCCTTTGGCTTTGTGGTCTTGGAAGCTGTGTAAGGCGTGTGCAGCATGCGAGGACTTTTCGGCTTTGTCTGCAATGCCTTTCAAAGCTTGCTTCACGTGGTTCGAAATTGAACTGACACGGCCGCGACCAGGTCTTCGATTGTTTCTACGATGTTGGTTGCTGAGGTGTTTGCAGCACCTAGCGTTACAACAGTAGAAGGGGACATTATAGTTCTTCGAAGGATAAGTTTACATTTATCGACAGAAAAGGCGTTGAGAGGACAAGGATCACCAAAAGACAAAGTAGCACATACGATGAGCGGTGCTCTCGTCCCGGGGACTCTTCAGCTTCGTGGGTAAGTAAGGGGTATTTATGCCCCATCGGAGGGAAATGCCTGTTCAGCTGCCTGTGCCAGACCGTGAATGTAGGGACGACCCGAAACAAAATAGGGATGAAATGCTAGGCCGTAAAAATTCACTCGCTTCTACGCTATACGCAGTTGCTGACCTTCTCAAATGAACATCGTCATCACATCGTTTTCCTATGAACTGTAGTGAAGTCTTTCGAATGCTGTCCTCACAAGGCTAGGCTCCCTCGACCTAGGATTCTATACATTCTTCAATGGCGCCAAACCGAACGCCAACTTCTCAAAGTCCAAAATCATATACAGCCCCTTCACAATCCCATCGCCCATAGAAATCAACGTTGTATCGCCCGACTCCGTGCAACTATGCTTCCAAACATGCGCGTTTAGGTAACACCCGCCCGTCTCGTAGATTTCCTGCACATACTCATCAAGTCCTACCGTATAATTAGCCCGGCGATCCAGCTCATACATCAAGGACGGAAAGCCAGGGGCGGCAGCACAATCGACCAGATACCAGTCCTGTGTCACGATACCCGTGGGAGTCGACGTCCACTGGCGCGCAATGGCCTGCACCGTCTCCGGGTCCGCTTTGCGCCCGCCCGTGAGACGGATTAGTTCGGCGTACTCGTTCGCGCTGACGGGGACACCCAGGCCCTCGGAGCCGTCATCCAGCACGGCGAGCTGGGTGATTAGCTCGTCGCTTGCGTCCTCATGGCGCGTTGTGCCGCGATACTTGTGATCGATGTCGTCTTCGTCGAGGTGATCCTTGTTGAGCGCGGAGGGTGGGAATGGCACGGCGTAGTTCGGCGACCACCTCGTTCCGTTGGATGAGGCGGAGGCAATTCATCCGCCCGTCCAAGGCGCTGCCCAGAAGTTCCAGACCGAGGGCTTGATGGGCAGGAACATCTCGTCGCCGAGCCAGGTCGGCGTCACGATCGGTTACCATACTACCTTGTCTTCGTGGTAGAGCGTGGTGCCGGTACCGCCGAAGACGAACTTGGCGTCTCCGCTAAGGCAGGGCGTTTTCGAGGATAGCTTTGAGCAAGCGTTGAATCCAACCTGCGGGCTGATTTGGCCCCGCTTCCAGGCTTGGTAGTGGACTGGGTGATACGTTTCGTTAAGGCCGGGGACGACGGGGGCCAGACCGAAAGTACCGCCGAATGGAACGACGGGGACGTAGAGCACCGGGAATGGGAAGTCGGAGACTTGGAAAGTGGTGTCTGCTGAGGCGCAGATAGTGTCATCATTGATGCGGACGGTGTCGGTAACGTAGTTGACGGTGAAGTCGGGGGATTAGAGACTGGTATCCCATTTCTGACGGCGGAGAGCGGTGTTGTTGCTGTAGGTGATTGAGGCGCGCTCGTCGTACTAAGACTGTCCCGATGCGACGCAGTGCGCCGGATCATATCGACCCTCACATCGGGCGCTACGAACAAAGAGAGCGGCCCAGGCCCAGTCGCTCAGGACAGTGAGGTTTTGAGGTGGCGTGCCCACGGTGATGTTGAACAAGTAGCCGAATTCGTTCCAGATGACGGGCACTGAGGCGGATGGGAGCGTTGCCGTGGATGTTCCTAGCCAGCTGAGGCTGTCACCTACTGGAACTTGCCAGTTGGAGACTAAAGAGTCAAGACTGGTTGTTCCGGATTAGAAGATCGACAGAAGGATGGACGCAAGCGCCCCAAACAGGACGAGAAGATACATGGCGATAGATTGTGATCGCAGGAGGCTCTCCGAGCACTCATACACACTCCCATGGCAGCGATCACGTTATAACCAGTTTCCTTTAGCACCTCAAGTTATCAGTATCTGAGTATAAGTTACGGTGTAGAACGTACTTCGGCGGGTTGTTCACAGCAGATGGCAGGCCTGCCCTACAAATGCGCCGAAGGATCCACCCCTCGGTCAATCGACAACCGCCTGTCAGATAAAGTCCCCGCGACGCACCGAGCATACAACCGACCAGTATGAAGGTTTCCAGAAACCTTCCATTCTAGTCCTAGACCTACCTTGGAGTGGCATCTCTCCCGCCGATCGTCGATTCGCTGAGCGGCAAGAATCATAGCCATTTTAGAGACATTCAACTCAGTAGTCCGTTCATTAGGACCATTGAAGAATTTCCACAGTGTGCAGGTCGGTTCAACCCGCTCCAAGGAGAAGAGCTTCAGGGAGCGAGACGGTGAAAGTGGAATCAACCAACACATGCATTTGAATGAAACAGACTCTGGTGCTGAAGCTCCCAACCCTCGGGCTGGATACAGCGTCATCAAGTGAGATTTAACTGGCTCCTTGATGCATGCCCACTTCATACTTTTCCTCGAAGACTAGGCGATGCTATTCTCGCGGGTGCTCTAATTCTGTGTGTCAACAGAACGTCGAACTGAAGATCATGGTACTGCAACATTCTTTATAGCATGATATATTGTTGGTTCGGGTTCCGCCAAGTTTGCACCTTAACATACGGTTTTTTCGTAGCAGTTGTTAGATAGGTCATTATTCAGATCTTTGGAATGAGCTTCGTAGTCACAGTCATCTGCAATGGAATAGAGTTCAGGCCATTTTTGAAAATCTCTGGCATGTGAAAGCCGAAAAAGAAGAAAGACGATGGTAAGTAGAATTTCAAAAGTCCCCTTCAAATCAAGCAAAAAACCAAGGAAAGTGCCACAAGGAAAACGACAATTGAGCACTCCGCAGGAAAATCGCTCGACCAAACAAAGCATTGACAGCTGTGCCTCATGGGGATCAGCTGTGATCAGAGATATGGGGATGAGATTTCTTCACGAGACAGATCGTTCAAAGCAACTTGCCTAAAACGAGACTTGGGAGTGCGACTTGTGTCATGCTCTTGAGCTTGGCCACTGCCGTGATTTTTAGAGATGGATGTTATTGGAAAGATTACTGGATTGACACTACGCTCAAACTTCAGCGGGCACACGAACAAGAATGCTGTTTGTACGGATCTGGAACTCAGCTTATACCGAAATGACGGTTAAGGCCCATAGAGTCGTACTCCTCATAGTTCAAAAAGCCGATCAACGGGCACAACACGCAACCAAGGGTATTATACCACAAGGTGTAACGGTCGCTGGCGAGCGTGTTGAAGTGCGCCAGGACGATGCAGAAGATGCCAGGCTGATGCGGCTGGGCGTTGGGCCATGGGTAGTAGGAAATCGAGTCCAAAAATAGAAGGTCGTGCCCGGGTTCGAACCGGGGTTATTGGAATATTTCCTGGCGCATTTGCAGGCGAGGTCAAAATCCAAAGTGATAACCACTACACTACACAACCAGAGGACCGTTGCTCCCATCCGCTTTACCAACACATCACACCTTGAGACAGGATCATCTAAACAGGGTCTTTAGGAACCGCTAGTTGGAATTGGTCTTGGCAGCGTCGCCACGGAAAATGTAACACGGTGTTGCCAACCTGCAATCGCAACCAATTTTCAGGGGGCTTGGGCCCTCTTCGCACATTTAGCTGATTTTCTCCCTTGACATTGTATGCCGAGATAACACAGCCAACCTCTTTGACAACGTCTGTGCTGCCGCTGTCGATCGGCCTCTGCCAGCAGGCGACATGATGGGGAAAAGTAGCCGTTTCGGAGCGCCACTACCGTGACTTGCGTGTGATCAGCCCATTCACTACACCGAGGATCGACTTCGGACGTACATGTTTACCAGTTGCCAAACGAAGCGGAATTGTGCGGCTACCAGGACTGGGCAGGGAGCAGGGTTATATTAGATGACATGTTTACAGTCTGGGGAAGTACCAGGTCAGCCTGAGAACCCTCGGTCCACAATTGTGGTTGCGTTCCACGGCTCTCAACGCCCGCGGTTTCTTGACACCTATGGTTCTATTAATGCTTAGCCTCGACCCCAGGTATTGCAGACAAAACCCTGCCCTTCCGTGTCCCTGCGATGGCTGCTGCATAGAGTGTTTAATTGCTGTGCCAGCCAAGTATTTTTCTGGTCTCTGCTGCCACATTGCCTTGCAAGAGTCATGCCATGTTCCTTTATCTGACAAACAATATCTTACCGTACTAAAACGCGTGGATCAGCTCCACCTAACCGGGGCTGGATCGCTTCACAGTTCACACAAGTTCAACCACCTGGCACTTCGCACCGTATGTGCAGTAGTTACAGACAAATTCGCTTTCAGTCTCCGAAGTATACTCTTCAAAATTATTCTCGAGCCCTAAGTGTCAAGAAGCGCTAAGCCATATATGGGCTATGTATACCTATGCCTGTATCATATCTTTCGGGCGTACGGCCATTACAGTCGCCTGATGTATTTGTTTCATGAATGTCCATGATAGTGATACAGGGCTTTTGGAATGCTCTATTATGCAAACTATACAAACCACGCAGGCGCTCTGAGACAGGCAGCTTCCAGACGCTTGAAGGTTCCTGAATCAACTTCTCAACCAACTCCCACCCTATTCGGCCTGTCTCCGAGCAGCCAATAGCTTGCTGATAATCAACCGACTTGTCGGTCAACAGTGAGCGTGATATCGTACTCTGGTGGCTGCAACCGCCCATGGTAGCCCTGTCACGTCACGGAGAAGTATTGGCTACCCACGTACAGTTATTCCGCGGTACTAACAACACCATGGTGGCACCAGTAATATTCCTCCTTCAGGGAGCTATGGGCACTCCCTGCAGTAGTTGAAGCACGCATCCCTCTCAATCTTTTAGCTACTGGGAAGCAACCCCGCAGTATACCCCTACTCCTGGTGACTTCGGCCGTTCTCCTGCCTCATCTATATACAGTCCTTCCTCTCCCGTGCATCAACCGCAGTCCGATCAGCTCAAGTTCGTCCAACTGTCCGATTGGGAGGAGCGGAGACACTACGATGCAGACTCACCTATGTACCTCCACTACTCAGTCGAGTGGAAGGTCACCGTAAACAACCGAGTAGTAGCAAAAGATACCGAACCGAACCAGACTTGGTTTTAGCTCCTAGTGCTTATTGGGTCAAGGTTTTGAGGCAGAAGCTTGAGAGTCGAGTCAAAACGAAGACTCAGCGTAGCAGGCGTGTCAGGTCAGAAGATACAGCAGTGGTGGTGTCAGTAAATGATCGCCCCCAACGTGACCTCAATAAATGGTTCGAGAAGACTAGCATTAAATGGTCGGCTGTTGAGCAGCAGATCGCAAAATGGAGCAACTTGTTCCGTATAGACAAGAAACTCAACTTAAGTATCTAATTCAACTATGTGAATGATGAATATTCGACCGCATCAGGCAACGACAAGAGGGGAACCAGATCTGTGACCAGGAAAATTCTTGCTGACCGTGATGCTCAGATCAATGCTGAAAGCACTTTGGGGCAAGTTCAAGCTTGGGGCCACGTCTATAGACTGATGCGTTGCCCTGGAAAACCGTGCGACCTGGGCAAATAGTACTGGCAAGATCCTATAGGCAAGAAGCATCACAGCCTTAAGACCCATCGTTTGATTGATCTGGTCAAATACGTCCGAGACGAGCATTGCACCCTGGAAACCCATGATGATATTCCTGACGGGATTCGTGAACAGCTCTATGCAGAAGAGCAACAGAGAAGTCGAAGTCGCGTTCAGAAGGGTTTGTCTGTGAACACTTCGACTGGATATCCCATTAACATCAATGTTCTACCCACTCAGCCTTCTCAAACTCTATGCTAGCTAACACGCCTATCACGACCCAGATTCAACCACCAGCGAAGGAAAAGCTGAAGATACGTGGCCCTCGGGACACAGCCGTGAGAGTTTATTGTGAATGGCAAGAATCGAACGTAGTCGACGAAAATCTCAAGGCCAATTTTCGAGAAGCACGTGCTCTGGCAATCAGTAATGGATATGACCTCGAGCAAGTCTAGCGAACAGGACCCAGGGTTTTTCGTTGGATTTTCTAAACAGAGTCCTAGTGGGCATTGCGCGACGTTTTGTCAATGACATTACACACGGTTGAAGAATGTGAGGGACGTTCAGAATGAACCACGGTCTGGAGGTGGAGATATAAATGCTGTAGTGCGGGGTACGGTCTGTTCACATCAAGATAACACATGCTGATAGGACTTTATTTCTATATTCCAGTAACTATTATGAACTTATCAAGGATTAAACGTATTTCTACTGATGACTGATGCTTTATGTACATTCGGAGGATAAAGCTTGCTTCTACAAATTGCATAACACGGAGCTTGCATAAGTGCGAACAAGCCAATGATAGGGCCTCACTCTCCTCCTCTTACCCCTCTTTTCAGCAGCTCTCGACGAAGGCCCGGGGCTTTCATCCGCCATTTCACGTCATTCGTTCGCACCCAGTTCTTTCGTTCGCGACTAGAATCAGATTCTTATGAATAATTTGGCTTGAAATCTACGCTTTTGGGCGACGCCATCACCAACTGCCCACAATGTCCAGCAAATGAAGTCTGGTATTTTGCATAAGGTGCTCTTTGAAACCTCTAGAGAAGCAGTATTCTGCTCAAGTGATGAGACCAAAGCGTGTTCTTCCCTGGAAAGATTTGGCTATTTAATGTGGGCCTCGCCGGATCTGCTATCTCTGGGTCTCGGAACGGCAGTCCCCACCCCACGCCAAAGCAGTTCCGTCCTCAGCGGGTAGAGTCACGTGATAAGCGGCTGAGGACCCCGCCCCGTCTTTCAGCTCATGGAAGTCCAACAGAGGCCCTTGCCATAAGCCACACGCAAGGCACTTGAATCCAGCATGGCATCAATATCATTCCGTGGCAACAATCATGGGCTCCAAGTTGGAGATAACACTGGCTCCATTCACGCTGAATTCCATCTGCCCCCGGGTAAGAAACCCGACCACGATCAAGGCCACCTGACTAATAGCCGACCCCCCTCAGAGCGACCGGAGACTCCACCGAGCCCTTTATCAACGGTCCAATTCGCGCGCAATCGTGATTTCATCCGTCGTGACGCACTGCTCCGTCAGATACGGGAGAAAAGCTCGGTTCCAGGGTCGAGAATAGCTCTAGTGGGCCTCGGCGGTGTCGGGTAAGTGTTGAGCGAATAGGGCTTGGCTTGGTGCTCACAACTCGAAGAAAATCGCAGCTTGCTATCGAGTACTCGTATCAGGTCCGATCCGAGTCAGCCGCAACGTGGGTCTTCTGGGTGCACGCGAGCGATGAGGTCCGGTTCGAGCAAAGTTTCCGGGAGATCGCAGACCAGCTTAAGATACTCGGTCGTCAGGATCCGAAAGCCAACATATTCAGACTGGTTGAGAACTGGCTACGGGATGAGAAGAAAGGGAAATGGATCTGTATCCTTGACAATGCGGATGATGATAAGTTCCTTTGTTCACTTCCCACGGCAGAGAAGGGAGTTTTAACAAAGGAGCCATCAAACGCCTCGACGAAGCCTCTCCTAGAATACGTTCCCAGAAGCAGGAACGGATTTGTGATTATCACGAGTCGGAGCAGAGAGGTTGCGCTCAAGATGGTCAAGCATACGGATCTTATTCAAGTGAACCCGATGGAAAGATCTGAGGCGCTAGAGCTTCTTCAAAAGACGCTTACTCAATCTGGGGAAAGCCAGGAGAATCAGCAGTTAGTGGAAGAGCTCGAGTGTATGCCGCTTGCGATAGTCCAGGCGGCTAGCTATATTCGAGAACGAGGAAATCGCTATTTGGTACCACAATACCTGAGAGACTTCCGAAAGAGTGACCGCGAAGCGACAAACCTGCTCAAAAAAGAGGTTGGCCACCTTGATCGGGATTGGGAAGCAAAGAACTCAATTTTCATGACCTGGCGAATATCATTCGATTATATTCGCCGCGAAAAGCCCTCTGCAGCAGAATTACTTTCACTTATGAGCTTTTTCGATCGTCAAGGGATACCGGAGGACCTTATCCGCTGCCAGCCATCAACCATCCGCACGGCAAGGACAGAAATCTCCAACGACTCTAGTGACGGGGAGACCTCTGATTCTGAATACGGCGGAGGTCCGGACTTTGAAGATGATGTCACAACCCTAAGGAATTACTCATTCATCTCGATTGGCGAGAGTGGCACTTCCTTTACTATGCATCGGCTAGTGCAACTGACTACGCGCGCATGGCTGAAGTCTTATGGAGAAATAGAACGATGGAGGGAAAGATTTATACGTAATCTATCCGACGAGTTTCCTACAGGTGAATATGAAAACTGGGGAAAATGCCGCTCGCTCTTTCCTCATGTCCGTGCTGCGATGTCTCAACGGCCAAAATCACGAGAGTCTCTATTAAGATGGGCCACACTACTTTATCAAGGGGCATGGTATGCGTCAGAAAGCGGTAATATGGCAGATGCGAGGGACATGGCATCGAAGTCGCACAAGCAGAGACAGAAATTGCTAGGTGTCCAGGCTGAAGAAGCCCTTGCAAGTGCTGCGATGTTGGCAGAAACATACTCACGAGAGGGCCGATGGGAGGAGGCGGAGCAGCTCGAGGTGCAGGTCATGGAAACAAGCAAATAAAGCTTGGCAGTGACCATTCTGACACGCTGACAAGTATAGCCAACCTGGCATCGACGTATTGGAATCAAGGCCGATGGGATGAGGCGGAGCAGCTCGAGGTGCAGGTCATGGA